AATAAATTTCATGATTTTATGCCAATATGCCAAAGTCTGTCAATTTTAGGTAGTAATTTCGGATTTCCACTAGAAGTGTCAAAATTTGAACACTACAAATTAAATAGCTTTAATTATAAAAAAGAAAATATTGCACAATATGAGATGTAAAAGGCACGTAAAACAAGAAAGACAAGCATAGATTGTAGCTTTAAAAAAAAATATATTTACACAACAGGGTCACAACCTACAAAAAATATATTTCAATAATTGTTTACATTTACAAGAGTTGACACACTTTAAAGTCTCGCTTACTGCAACATTATAATTTTGTTCAAAAGAGCAATGAATTCTAAAACTGGGGTAAACTTAAAATTGTCTGGTGCACACATTCAAATACAAATACAAACTTTTTCTAAAGCATCATGTATAATTTGGTCGAAGGTAAATAAAAACTCTTACCTAAAGGTTAAATAAGGAACATCACTACTAAACATTTAATGCTGCACACATTCAAGGGATAATTTATTTTGTTAAATAACTCTGGCGGAAGATAATGTTGAAAGATAAAGGGTGAATGTTATTTTTTTTGTCTTGTTTTACACTTCAAATCCACAGAATTAAAGCGCTGAAAAAGGCAGTTACTGTTTATTCAATTTTGTGACTTCCAGTTTTACATCCTTGTTTATAAATAGAATCACACATGAACAAATGTGTATAAATACATGGAAAACAACTGTTGTTGAAAAGTTTTTCTAGATAACTAGAAAAAAAAAGGGTATTAGTAATAGCAGAAGTATAACCACAGTTGAACAATTTAATATGATGACCTGTAGACCCCTGTCACAGACAAATACAGTGTCTCATAACAGCAATAAAGGCAGAAACTACATTTAAATAAAATCAAATATTAACTTTGACTTGATGACACAATATGACTTGAGCATCATTATACTGTTGTCATATCAGAAATTAGTCATATTTAAAGCAAAAATAAGCAAAGTTTAGGAACAATTTGAATATTTAAATATCAAAGCACATGAGTTATTTATAATAATACTTTGGCAGCAAATACATAAAAACAAGAAACTTTTTTGGTGGTGATATCTTTTAGGGTAAGGGTTTTAACTGTCATTTCATGACTCTATAATCCATAATAAAATGCTCCGCTGGGGCGCAGCTTGATATGACCGCAGAGGTCGAACCCTGAACACAACATTCAAGCTTGATACAGCACTGAATTTGGATTGTAATTAAATATTTGACACAGCATAGGTTTCTGACACAGAATGAAAGTGGTCTAAGAACTTAAAAAATTTTCAATTTACCTATTCATACATGTGATGGACTGTGAAACTCAGATCAGGAGATTGGGAAATTTTGGTCAGGAGATTAGGACTCAGATCAGGAGGTTTTTAATCGACATTAATTTTGTTGTAAATGTAACCGTGTGCTGTAAAAATGGTCTTTTAAAGTGTGTTTTCTTCAACTTTCCATCCAATTTATTATGTTTATAGTACCCTTGTACTTATAAAGTTTCTCCATCTTTATATTCTACATGTTCAATCTAACATTGTTTTTTTCCAGTATGTTCTTTAAATTTTTTACTTCATATTCTATAAAACAATCATTGCAACCAGAACATTTGTTTAGCTATCTGCAAATAGTTATTTTTTTTTTTTTCTCTTGCAAATAGTTTTTATTTGCAAACTCAGAAAATCATTCTACCTGTAAAATTAGGGTCATAGTTATTATATAAATTTCAATTTAAGCCTTGAAAGGAAGTATAGAATCCTCAAATAATTTTCAAATTATTATTTTTTTATTTGTCCTAAGACATTTAAAATCATTTAATAACCATCCTTTTATGATTATTTGTTCAATTTATATTTTATTTATATTCTTTTAAAAATTTTCATTATTAAAAGGAAAGTAACTTAAAACAGGATAAATCAAGGGAAGTAACCCAATAAATACACAGTTTTTGTTACACAACGGCAGTTAGCCTGAGGTAAAAATCGTTGATTACCAGTATGTTTGACACCCAAGCTGACAAGTGAAGCCATATAATTATGCATGTTAATTGATTTACAGGTAAAATATAACTTCAGGTAATGTCAGTTACACCAGATGCCTGAGATGATATGTTGGGCAGAAATTTTTCATTCATGAAAAATTTCATACACGGGATTTTTTCCTCTTCAATGGGAGGTCGGGAGGAGACCCCTGAAAACGGGATTATTGTACTCCCGTCGGGAGGTTCACATGTATGCCTATTCAAACCATATCATTATTATTTGCTTTTATATATAAATCAGAAATAACCAATTTAAAATGGAAAATGTTAAAGAAAAAAAAGGAAAAAAAAAATCCCCCCCAATTTTTTGAACCCCCTTATGATTCATCACCCCCAAACTCAATCCCAGCTTTCCCTTTGTGGTATGGTACCTTGCAGTACAATTTCAGAGAGATTCATACACTTGAACACAAGTTATTGTCTGGAAACTAGAAAAATGCTTGTTTTTTGGCCCCTTTTTTGGCCCCAAATTCCTAAACGTTTAGGGCAATTACCCCCAATCTCAATTCCAGCTTTCCCTTTGTGATATGGAACCTTGCAGTACAATTTCATAAAGATCCATACACTTACACACAAGTTATTGTCCTGAAACTAGAAAAATGCATGTTTTTTTTGCCCTTTTATGGTCCCTAATTACTAAAATTTTGAGGGAAAACCCCCAAAATCAATCCCAGCCTTCCCTTTGTGATATGGAACCTTGTAGTACAATTTCATAAAGATCCATACACTTACAAACAAGTTATTGTCATGAAACTAGAAAAATGCTTGTTTTTTGCCCCTTTTTGGCCCCTAATTCCTAAAATTTGGAGGAAATTACCCCAAAAATCAATCCCAGTATTCCCTTTGTGATATGGAACCTTGTAGTACAATTTCATAAAGATCCATACACTTACAAACAAGTTATTGTCATGAAACTAGAAAAATGCTTGTTTTTTGCCCCTTTTTGGCCCCTAATTCCTAAAATTTGGAGGCAATTACCCTCAAAATCAATCCCAGCATTCCCTTTGTGATATGGAACCTTGTGGTACAATGTCAGAGAGATCCATACACTTACACACAAGTTATGTCTGGAAGTTACAAAAATGCTTATTTTTGGCCCCTTTTGGCCCCTAATTCCTTAACTGTTAGTACCATAACCCCCAAAATCAATCCCCACCTTCCTTTTGTGGTATTGAACCTTATGGTAAAATTTCATTGAGATCCATTCACTTAAACTAAAGTTAGAGTGCGAAAACTAATGTGTATTCGGACGACGACGCCGGACGACGACGACGACGACGACGACGCCAACGTCATACCAATATACGACCACAAAAATTTTTTTGCGGTCGTATAAAAAGAAATATTTAAACCCAAACCCAAACTGTTATGTTTTATTTAATAACATTTATTCAAAATTTGTAAAATTCTGAAAGCTAGAGAATATTTTTTAAAAATTTGATCCAAAATCAAGCTCTCTTTACATAAGATTATTCTAAATTCTATCAATTTTGGATGTCGTAATATATTTTTTCAAACTAACTTTTTTCAGAGAATTTTCAAATAAATAAATTGTTTTTTAACTGTAACAAATAAATCTCACCATTGGGCCACCTGTTATAATTTCTTATAAAATTACACAAAAGATTGAACCATACAATAAACATATATAGCACTCTTATATACAATAATTTGATTAATGTGCCATTATGGAAAGACAAATATGCAAAATTAATCGAACCATCCTTTAATATAATATATATGTAAATAAACATGCTGTTCTTAGGCTTTGAGTTTTAAAGTGTTAAACACAATTACATACTAAAATATCACTCAACAATTGTCAATAGGTATTTCATCACACATGAAACATTCCAAATAAAAAACAATATCTATAATACCTTATATATAAATATCAGGGAATGTTATTTGGAATTGTTGTAGGATAATACACAAAAAAATCTATACACAGTTAACGTTCAACTTCAAAATTAAAGACATTTCTCCTATTTCAATCTTTAAGAGTACTATATGTATAATTTACATGAAATCTATTGTATTATGGTATATAAACCATTTCAACATATAATCTTTAAATTATTGTTTTACCTATATCTGAAACTCATCTTTTTCATTTCATAGATTACAAATCAATTTGCTTAAAACTGTTGTATATACAAATGTTTGGCACAAAAATGTATTCAGTAGTTTGATATATATGTTTTATCACTGGTCTCCCCACAAATCTAATAGTGCATCCTGGTAAACAATGAATTTTGAAATAACATCATAATTGTAGAAATTATTGTACTATATCCAGAACAATATTAGGAGAAAAGTTCATTTTAGATAGCATCTCATTCAAACAATTTGCATCACTTTACCAGGATGCTAAAATGCCCTGGGGAAAACACTTTTTACATTGCCATTTCTTTAATAAATTGAATACATTTAACCTGAAATATTATTTTTTTCTCTTAATTGTCATTACCCATAATAATATTGCAGGTATAGTTCTTATTTCAAAACTTAATTTCAGATTTATTTTTTTTTCAAAATTATATAAAAAGTAAATACTCGTATGATGCAAGCATCTTTGTTTAACACAACACCATGAAGTATTTGTTAGAACTTTTATCAACACACAAACAATCTATGCCAAGTTAAAATATGAATTTGTATGTGACCTGTCTAAAGTAACAGTACCCAAATTGCACTGAGTACCCAAATCGCACTTATTTAGCAAAAATAGCAGCAGAAATCTTACAAGTTTTATTAGAGACTAAACAATTTGTATTTTTATAATTTTACATTTTGCAAGTCTTTCAACATAGCTAAATGTATTTTAATATACACAAAACATTCACAGCATATATCAACAGATGAATTACTCATTGGAAAAAGTAAAATCTACTGATACATCACATGCCGACGTGCACAAAAAGTAAATTTTTAGATTCAGATGTGAATTTAAGCATGGATGCAATTTGAGTACTCCTCATTACAGAATCATCGATCTTTGGGAGGTAGATTCAAACAAATTTTACTATGATTCAATATGGCCTCTAAAATTATATTGGTGGAACTATAATAATAAGGATACATCTACAAAATAAACACAGAGTGGAAACTTTTGTCTGGATCATAAATAAACAGAGGGGAAAACCGTCAAAATAAGAGCAAATTGGGTACCATCACATTAACTTTAATACTGATGTATGTAAGTATGAATGACCAAAAAATTGGGGAACTAATGTCTAGTGCAATATTTTATATTGGATTAAGCAACATTCATGTCTCAAAATTTATTAGAACAATATTTTTTTTTATTTCACTGTATAATAAATCTTACTCTTCTAGAACACCATCACCTATACTTTTAAATATGAAAAAAATCTGATCCTTAATGAAGTAATTTCTAAAATGCTGTTCTCTTACAATTTGGTAAAAACTGTAAGTATTTAATGGTTCTGTAAATTATTTTTTTTATAAATTCAAAATATCCATACAGAGGAACCACAATTTCTAACAGCATTAAATTTTATCAGAAAAAAAAAACCTGATGTGACAAAACAAAACAACATGAACAGATGATATTAAGTATAATGTACTTGGCAACTTTAAACACAATCGATGAAATATGTACACATGATTACAGCGGTATTTTTTTCAGCACAATTCCAGACCGTTTTACTCTATCCAATAATCCACCATTAATTGAGGAATCTTAAAGCGGCATTTACATGTATTTATTTCTTTACATTTCATGCTACTATCATCTAATCCATGTGCATAAAACAGTTACAATTGTTGCTATGACAATCACTGCTACTGACACTGGTGTTGATAGTGGTCCACTACAATCACTTTCTTCCTACAAAATACCAATTATATATATTCAACAGAAAAATATTTATAGTTTACTTTGTATGTTCCTCATTCATATATATATATTATTCTATTTTTCTGTTTGCCGTTTAACCCATTTTGTACCAGTTGTTTATCAAAATTCAACATAAGGTACATAAAAATCAATGATCGACTAATTTAAGATCAATGCTGCTAAATATTTCTAAATTTCTAAAACTGCACAAATAAGTACAAAAAAGAAGTGTATAAATAATTTGTGCCAACTTTGAATTACAGATTGATTGATAAAACAAACAACACCCATCAAGATCTGCATGCAACTGTAAATCTTATTTTATTAACATTACTTTGTGAACTTCCAAATTTCCTAGATCTCTTTTACATCATCTTTAGATGAATTTATTGTTAAGTCTTGTTTTTATAAGGCAGTTCTTCATCACACTATTCCCTTAAACATGCTTTTGCAGACATTGCAAAAATATGAAATCAAAAGGCTGTAAAATTAACAGCAAACCAGGTTTTTATTACATTTATTAATTGTCATTGTTAAACATGTTAAAGCATTGAAATGCAATTACTCCTGAACAGCAAAAATGAAATATTGATTTTAACTTCAATTTCGTCATCAGTTACAACATATCAAAATGTATAAAGCATTGGTAGAACAGTTCTAAACTTATTGCAATGACAAGATTTAAAGTGACATTTAACAATGAATCAAAGACCATAACTCCTGAAAAACAAAAGTAAAAAAATCCTCCATATCAAATTTGAATTCCATTTTGTCACTAGTAACAACATATCAAAATTAGAAGTGCATTGATTAAGAGGTTCATAAGTTATTGTACTCAAACAACATAAAGTGGCATTTCCAATCAATCAAGAACCATAACTTCTGAAAGGCAAAAGTGAAAATAGTCAAAATCAAACTTATCTTCCATCTTGTCATCAGTAACAACGTATACAAATTTGACAAGCATTGTTTGAACAGTTCATAAGTTATTGCATGGAAACAACAATAGCCACCTGTATGCCCAGACAATAGCCTTTTAACTCCAAATCAATAGCCCCTCGGAAAACCGTGTTTCAAAATCATCCTTATTTTGCAACAGCTTATGCATATACAGACCTTCTCATGATAATCATAACATGGCTCTGTCACCCTTCTGTATCTTGCCTGCTTATTACAAAAATGCTCACTTTCCTCTGTCAAAATAAAAGATATGAATTGTCTAGACTGAAAATGATAGCTTGTAAATTTACATATACTATTCTAATGCAATTATTTTGTATCAATGGTTCTGATTGAATGACAATACTCGTAAAATTCTCTATCTCCCTGTCTGTAACTAAGGAAGCCGACATTTTGAATTCCGGAATGTACTGACATGTAATTTCTCCAATAATAAGCCAAAAAACCTTACATTTTGCACCTAGAAATCTTCTTTTTATCAAATTTTAATACATTCTAAAACGGACAAGAAGCCAGAAAACGCCCGGTGTTTACTTCTGATGCCGGAAGCTTACCTATGACGTCACATAGTTTAGGTGCCAAAGAAGATAATATCATTTCATGGAATTTTTTGCTTAATGAAAATTTTACACTGAAATAATGACTAAATTTCAATGATTTGTTTATTTTGTATTAGAAAAGAGTAAACTATATTGTATTTGAAGCTTTGCGGACGTCCATCGGAAGTTTTACTGTCGCAAATATCTGTTTACCTGTCTCCGCTTAACGTCGCCAGGTAAACTAAATTTGCGACAGTAAAACTACCGATGGACGTCCGCAAAGCTTCAAATACAATACAGTTATCTCTAAAATACAACACAACAAAATATTAACAAATTTAGGGTTTAACATTGACACTCATTATTATTTTAGATATGCATGGAAATACCAATTGATCAAAATGTTTTTCAAATTCAGGGGCAAAATATAGATACATCCCCTTAATTTCATTTTAAATGGTATGATAATAATAACAAGAGGCTCATGAGAGCCTGATATCGCTCACCTGCAGTTTCAGGCATTTGACTTATTTGTAGATCTTACTTTGCTGAACAATTTTGTCATTTACATTTTCTCTCTTTCTATAATAATATTAAAGATAATACATAACCCAAAACTGTAAAATTTCCTAAAAATTAACTATTTCTGGACAGTAACCCAACAATAAGTTGTCCTATTGGTCTGAAGATTACTTGACAGGTAGATCTAAACCTGTTGAACAATTTCACCTATGTCAGTTTTGCTCTTACTGCTTTATTTTTGAGATGAAAGCCAAAAACTTCATTTGACCCCTATGTTCTATTTTTAGAAACTGCCGCCATGTTTTTGAATGGATCAAATCCCCAAATACAATCTATAAACTAGATACCCTAAGGAACATTGAATTTAAGTTTTTACTTATTTGGCCAAGTAGTTTCAGAGAAGAATATTTTTGAAAAAGTAATTAGACTTTCACAAAAAATGTAAAAAAAAACCCTTTTAAGGGCAATAACTCCTTAAGGGGTCAATTGACTATTTTGATCATGTTGACTTATTTGTAGATCTTACTTAGCTGAACATGTATTGACATTTATACTTTCTATCTATTATAATATTAAAAAAAATAACCAATAAAATGCTCCGCTGGGCGCAGCTTGATGCGACCGCAGAGGTCGAACCCTGAACAGTTGGGGCAAGTATGTACACAACATTCAAGCTTGATACAGTACTGAATTTGGATTGTAATTAAATATTTGACACAGCATAGGTTTCTGACACAGAATTAATGTGGTCTTAGAACTTAGAAATTTTTAATTTACCTATTCAAACAATATCATTATTATTTGCTTTTATATATAAATCAGATATAACCAATTTAAAATGGAAAATTTTAAAGAAAAAAAAGGAAAAAAAAAATCCCCCCCAACCCCCCAATTTTTTTTAACCCCCTTATGATTCATCACCCCTAAACTCAATCCCAGCCTTCCCTTTGTGGTATGGTATGTTGCAGTACAATTTCAGAGAGATCCTTACACTTGAACATAAGTTATTGTCTGGAAACTAGAAAAATGCTTGTTTTTTGGCCCCAAATTCCATAACGTTTAAGGCAATTACCCCAAACACAAACCAAACTTTCCCTCTATGATATGGAATCTTGTAGTACAATTTCATAAAGATCCATACACTTACACACAAGTTATTGTCCTGAAACTTAGAAAAATGCTTGTTTTTACCCCCTTTTGGCCCCCAATTCCTAAAATTTTGAGGCAATTACCCCCAAAATCAATCCCAGCATTCCCTTTGTGATATGGAACCTTGTGGTACAATGTCAGAGAGATCCATACACTAACACACAAGTTATGTCTGGAAGTTACAAAAATGCTTATTTTTGGCCCCTTTTTGGCCCCTAATTCCTGAACTGTTGGTACCATAACCCCCAAAATCAATCCCCACCTTCCTTTTGTGGTATTGAACCTTATGGTTAAATTTCATGGAGATCCATTCACTTAAACTAAAGTTAGAGTGCGAAAACCAATGTGTCTTCGGACGACGACGCCGACAACGTCATACCAATATACGACAGCAAATTTTTTTTGCAGTCGTATAAAAACAGTAAAATTTAATAAAAATAAACTAATTCCAACAGTAACCCAACAATGGGTTATCGAACTGGTCTGAAAATTTCATAACAGATAGGTAATGACCCATTTATCACTTTAACTCCTTTCACTTTTGCTCTAACTGCTATAGTTTTTGAGATAAAAGTCAAAAAACTGCAATTGACCCCAATGTTCTATTTTTAGCCATGGCGGCCATGTTTGTTAATGGATCAAAACTTCGGATACAATTTATAAACCAGTTATCCTAAGGAACATTTAGGTAAAGTTTAGAAGTATTAGGCCCAGTAGTTTCACAGGAGAAGATTTTTAAATGTTAGCAAATATGATGAACAATATTGTGTAAAATTGTCTTTAAAGGGCAAAAACTCCTTAAGGGGTCAATTGACAATTTTAGTCTTATTAACTTTTTTGTAGATCTTACTTTGCTGAACATTTTTGCTGTTTAGTTTATTTTTATCTTCAATAATATTCAAGCTAATAACCAAAAACTGCCAAATGTCCTTAAAATTACCAATTTAGTGGCAGCAATCAACAATGGATTGTTCGGTTCGTCTGAAAATTTCAGGGCTTATAGATCTTGACCTACTGAACATTTTTATCCCGTCAGATTTGCTCTAAATGCTTTAGTTTTTGAAATTTAAGCCAAAAACTGCATTTGACCCCTATGTTCTATTTTTAGTCATGGCGGCCATGTTTGTTGATGGATCAAAACTTCGGATACAATTCATAGATACCCTAAGGAACATTCAGTTAAACTTTGAAGGTATTAAGCCCAGTAGTTTCAGAGGAGAAGATTCTTGAAATAGTTTACGACGACAGACGACGGAGAACGGATGATGACGGATGCCAAGTGATGGCATAAGCTCACATAGGGCCCTTTGGGCCCGGTGAGCAAAAAATATGCTTCAAAATAGTTCCCACTTTTTTCATTTGAAATGTCATCATATTAGAAATATGCTTCCAAATAGTCCACATTAAGTTTATTTTTCTTGCTACTAAAATGTTCAAATAGATATTTCCCAAAATGTCATGGCCACTTACTTTCATAAACTTGTGGTTCTTGAAGAAGATCCATCTCACTGCTCTTCTCTTCTAAACACCCATCACATTTTGCATCAGCCATGACAAACATTAGATTGCTCTTCAGCTTGCTGTTGTTTAATTTTATTGCTTTATAATTCCTAAAAGAGAAAAGAACATGTAAAACAATCATTAAAGGTACTAATCTATGACGAGGAAAACCCCTTCACAAATCAATGACAGATGATAAGCAATGAAATGTTACAAGCACATTTAGGACATTTAGTTTGACTGTCCCTCTGGTATCTTTCATCCCTCTTTGAGGACTGTTCAGTACATTGCACTTGAAACTTTTTGAAAAGCTGAAGTAAATTTAGTAACCCCTTTTGGATGTGACGGAAGGTATTGGTGAAACAATATATAAATATCGTCAAGATGGATGGATTCCTTAAAGAAAGACAGCATCTTTTGTTTAACCAGTGAAACCTATTATCTACCTTTCATGTATTTCCATTGGGACATAATTCTTAGTGTTGGGTTGATTCTTTTTGTAACTGAGATTAACAAGAGTGCACAAGCTGAAATGTTTTGTCTTCTTTACTGATCATGATTGAATTTGTGCTGAAAGTCTTTAAAATAACGGTTTTAATACAAAGATTCATGTACATGAGGTCCAGGTCAGATGAACCCTGCTAAACAGATTTGTATACCTTTTATAATCATTCAAGATACCAAACAAAGATAATCTATTGCTTAAAGAATCTGAGAAACAGACATAACCATTATATATGTTAGACTCAGATTGACGTTCAGTCTCAAATCGACGTCTGTTCCTCAAATCGACGTCCAAATCTGACGTCAGATTCTCAAATCAGTTTCCAATATTTTGACCCTCTAATCTATATCCAAATATCCAATGTGACGTCATGTTTTGCCAAAACTGTAGTTTCTCTAATCAATGTCCAATAAATTACTGCACGTATACATGTACATGTATATTACTGATTGATTTTGGAACATTCAAATACAAAATAAAAGATGAATTTTGGTCTGTTTGCTTTTTAAAACAACCCAATTTTCAAATAGTTACAGACTTTCCATAGAGATTTTTTCAACCTGAAAAGGTAACTGATGTATTGATATTCATTTGCATAAGGTCGATTTCTATCCAAGTCATAATCCGATGCAGCATTATTGTTATTAGATTGATCTCTATTTATATCTAATGTATCCTTTTGTCTTTATGTTAAGCTGTTTTAAGAAACTTATTGTCTTTATACAGTACAAATCATAATGACTTAGTAGACATATGAGAAGGAACATCACAGTCAGTTACATCTCTTCCCAAAGAATTAACTTAAACAAAATAAAAGGACTAACATCGATAAATGACAACAAGACAACCACCGACATCTTATAACATATACATGTATATTGATATTTATCTTGATACAAACTAATCCAATCTATCTACGTCGTTGAATGTCATTCATATTCATACTGATAAATGACATGTGAGTATACGTCAATCACAAAACAACCCTACGACAAAGAAAACCAAACGACATATAGAGGGCAACATTCAGCATTCTGTTTTGGGAGTATTATAATTCGGACTCTGTAAGATATTTTTCAACAAACTTCTGAGTTTTACACCTGGAGTGAAACATATACAAAAGAAATTGGCATTATGAATAAGGTCAAAGTCATAAGCGAGTAATCCACATTACTAAAAAAAAAATTTTTTTAAGGGGGTTACTGAAACATGAAAATGAGGTCAGGAACAATAGATATATGTCACATAAAAACTGTGTAACATAAGGCATATATATACAAGGTATAAAGCATCCAGGTCTTCTTCCTGCTGAAATATAAAGCTTAAGTGTTTTGTTGATTTTGATGTAAGATTTCTGGTTAAATAGTATCAATTCATTCAGAACTTGTTTAACTAATGATTCTTAGTTGATATCTCAATGTTTACCCAACATTTCTTTACTCAAATCAACATTACTAACAAAAGATAAATACAAACAAATGATACTTTACCTTGTACAGTTAACATTTATACATTCAATTACACCCTCTATTTCACTGAAATCTGTAGGTATATAATACTGAGCTTGTCTTTTTATACAGTTTTTATTAACTTCTGGTGCGGTAGCTGAAAGTAAGTAGATAAATATAAATAAGAAAGTCATTTCAACTTATCTACATAGCTCTATTTAAACTTCAGACAGAAAACATACCTAGATGCATCATTTTTGTACAGGAATTCCTTCCATAAATTACATTGTTTTACAAATTACTTTCATTAAATGAAACTTACTAGTGACAAAAAAACAGATATTTTCTATTTGTCTCCAACATTATGCCCCTCGGTAAATTTCATCCACTTCCAGAAATAACATATCCCTTTTTTCCAACTGCTTTCAAATGTGTGTGGCCAATTTGATAGTTTAAATGTATTTTCTGTGATTTTTTTATGCCTATCTTTAACAAACTTGCATAAATGTGTTAACATTTGATACTTTTCATGACCCTGCTACTGTATTCAGTTTCTTTACAGATGATTGTGAGCCTATGACAAGTAAGTTGAAATTCTAAAATTCTAAGAGTAAAATAAAACACTTTGCAATCTGTCTAATCTTACAGCAGGACAAGGGGTTTTCATTTGCTTCTCAAGAATAAGATCAAGCTTAAGAATGCTATTAAACTTACCTGTCTCTACAACTGGAGCATTTAACCAGCTGAAAAAGAAACATGTAAATTAATGCATTAAATTGAAAAATTTGTAAGGGTTCTGCGGAACCCAGTGTGTTGTCTTCTTTTGCTGTTAATTGCAGGCGCAACAAAAATGAGGAAAAAAATTAATAAAAATATTCCTCTCTATACTATCTTCTGATTGTAAGTAGCTTCTGTCCAAGTTTGGTAAAAATCCAGGATAGTTAATGAATCTAATAAATGTTTTAAAAACTTAAACTGCAGACTGTATGTAATGTTAACTGGAAGAAAAACTAAGTCCATTTATAAATAAAATACGGAAAAAATGGAACAAAATTTTAACAAAATTTCGTTCTAGATACTGGGTTTTAATCATAAACAAGCTTCTGTCCAAGTTTGGTACAAATCCAGGATAGTTTAAGAAAGTTGTTTAAATCTTAAAAACTTTAACCACAGAGTGAATGTAATGTTAACTGGCAGAAAAACTAAGTCCATTTATAAGCAAAATACGGAAAAAATGGAATTTTTTTTTTTACAAAATTTATTTCTGGATACTATCTTATGATCATAAACAAGCTTCTTTCCAAGTTTGGTAGAAATCCAGGATAGTTTAAGAAAGTTATTAAAATTTTGAAAACTTTAACCACAGAGTGAATGTAATGTTCAGTGTTTTCCCTAGGCTGTTCAAGCATTGCGGTACCGCTACGCATAAATTTCGACCGCCATGCTTTCATCATTGCCGCAATGCATCCCGCTATGTGTGAAAATTATAACTGTGTAAAATATTTATTATCGATTTCGAAAGTGAAGTGACAAGTGACCACACTCCACATGTGTTTTAAACTCATCCGACTGATAATTGGATGCATCACGTCGCGCCTGCCGGGATTTTACAACCTTCTTGATTAGTTGGTTATACATCGAGACTTCGGTTACATAATAGAAGTTGCCAGTTAGCTGATAAATAAATAGTCAGATTAATCTCCAATGCATATCTTTCTGTGCTAAATAAAAAGTTTAACCTTTTCCAGTATAAATTTCACCTTAAAACGGGTGTTTGACATGATCGTTATTTTACTGCGATCTTTAAAAAGTAGAAATTAAAAATTTGGTATAGTCTCTGGTATTATAAAATAAAACTAACGTAATTTCACCGAGAATGGACAAAACTTTTGTATAATAAAGTTTCGCAGTTTTTTCATCAGCTATATTTACATCGATGAATTATTTTTTGATTGGTCACAACAATCAGTTATTTTTAGATTAGTCGCGGTTGATTGATTATATCAAAGAATACACATCACAGCCACCGGGCCGAGAAAAAGACGTGTTTTATGAAATATTTAAAAGATTTGATAGAAAAACTTTCAAAACATACATAGATATTTACGGAAATATTGTTTTTAATAAACTTGTGTTGTTCTACTTTTATTTTAATGGGTCACATGAAGCTTAAGTGTAGCGGATTCATTTGCCGTTTTTTACACAAGTGGGGCTAAATTTCTTTCACTTCGGCAAGATAGGATTTTTACAATTATGAAGCGTTCTAAATAAATCGGACAGGGATGTATTTAAAAACAATAGTTACAAATTGTCATGAAATAAAATGTCAGCTTAGCTTCCAAACAATGTCATCCGTTTGTCCGTTTGTCAGGTATTCTTTATTGACGACTTCTGTAATTAACGCAATAAACTTTGTTTTATTGTTTCCTGTAAAATCTCTGTGAAGCAATGATGACATTCAAAGTTTTATTTAACAACTTGCTGTTCCAAGATGCTGAAACCATTCTATCAGCTAACTGAGGACACTGTTAGTGAAAGAATGTAAAGACATGACATTTAGGCAGACAATGAACAAAGTTGCCAGTCTTGGAACTTTGTATCCATGTCTGTCTAAGTATGCAGTATTGAGTCTTCCATTGCCAGTTTCAACAGCTGATTGTGAAAGGTGTTTTTCATGCTTAAACAGAGTTAAAACACCTTTGAGAAAAAGAATATGCCAAAAAGGTGCTGAATTGCTTAATGCATATATCAATTGAAGGACCAAAGGAGGAAGATTTTGATTTTGAAAAATGTGTGGTGACCTTTGGAAAGTTGAAACAGAGGAAGATATCAACAAAATAATGTGTAGGCCTACATGGCATTATTTTGTAAATAACTATTACAGACTGGATTATTTTTATTATTGTTTATTAAGTCTTCCTCTCATCTGTAATAAATACTTTAAAGTTCCATGACTTATATGAATTGCTGTACCTATAATAAAACAATTAGATTGGTATATGGCTTTAAACATATAAATTATGTAGTGTTACTAATTCTGGAAAAAGAAGCGTCGCGCGCCGCGTTGCAAATTCACCATGAACCCACCATGCATGAAAAATTTTCTAGGGAAGACACTGATGTTTCCTGGCAGAAAAACTAAGTCCATTTATAAGTAAAATACGGAAAAAATTACTTTTGAATATTATCTTATGATCATAAATAAGCTTCTGTCCAAGTTTGGTAGAAATCCAGGATAGTTTAAGAAAGTTATTAAAATTTCAATAAAAACTTTAACCACAGAGTGAATATTTGTGGATGCCGCAGCCGACGACAACAATGACGACGCTGCCGCCGCCGACAACAACAACGACGACGGAATGTAGGATCGCTATGTCTCGCTTTTTCGACAGAAGTTGAAGACTTGACAAAAAATGAAAAAATTTATGCTAGTAGTTCAGCTGCTCTAGGTCAACTTCCATTTTTTTTTTATAAAACTTTATCACAACATTGTTTCCAAAGTTAACTTAAATTTTCAATCCTTCAGGACATTAAGAGAAATTTTCAAAAAGGTGGACATATGTCCTTTATAGACAGGGTCCTAGCTAAATAACTTATATGGAGGAGTATACATTATTTAATAGTTTGTTTTTTTAATCAGCGGTGAATTAGCACTACTTCTTTCATAAATGTATATAACTAAAATATAACTATAAAATAAGTCAAACAAAATAAGATAAAAATGAGCTATTGAAAAGATAAAGACAAAAATTCACACACATATGTGACTTTTGCAGAATTATAAAGCAATATGCAGATACAAAAAAAATAATAAATAAAATGCTTCGCTGGGCGCAGCTTGATACGACCGCAGAGGTCGAACCCTGAACAGTTGGGGCAAGTATGGACACAACATTCAAGCTTGATACAGCTCTGAATTTGGATTGTGATTAAATATTTGACACAGCATAGGTTTCTGACACAGAAAGAATGTGGTCTAAGAACTTCAATTTTTTTAATTTACCTATCATGGTCCAATGTCCAAAATCAAAATACATGGTTAGATTCAGCATATCAAAGAACCCCATATATTCAATTTTTGTTGAAATCAAACAAAGTTTAATTTTGGACCCCAACTTGGACAAACTTGAAAACTGGTCCCATAATCAAAAATCTAAACACATGTTTAGATTCAGCATATCAAAGTACCCGAAGAATTCAATTTTTGTTAAAATCAAACTAAGTTTAATTTTGGACCCTTTGGACCTTAATGTAGACAAATTTAAAAAACGGGACCCAAAATTCAAAATCTAAAAACACGGTTAGATTTGGCATATCAAAGAACCCCAATAATTCAATTTTTGATGAAATCAAACAAAGTTTAATTTTGGACCCTTTTGACCTCAATATGAACCAATTTGATAGCGGGCCCACAAATAAAAAATCTAAATACATGGTAAGATTCAGCATATCAAAGAACCCCATATATTCAATTTTTGTTGAAATCAAACAAAGTTTAATTTTGGACCCCAATTTGGACCAACTTGAAAACTGGGCCAAAAATCTAAAATCTAAATACATGTTTAGATTCAGCATATCAAAGAACCCCATATATTCAATTTTTGTTGAAATCAAACAAAGTTTAATTTTGGACCCCAACTTGGACCAACTTGAAAACTGGTCCCATAATCAAAAATCTAAACACATGTTTAGATTCAGCATATCAAAGAACCCAAAAAATTCAATTTTTGTTAAAATCAAACTAAGTTTAATTTTGGACTCTTTGGACCTTAATGTAGACCAATTTAAAAAACAGGACCCAAAATTAAAAATCTAAATACACGGTTAGATTTGGCATATCAAAGAACCCCAATAATTCAATTTTTGATGAAATCAAACAAAGTTTAATTTTGGACCCTTTTGACCTCAATATGAACCAATTTGATAGCGGGCCCACAAATAAAAAATCTAAATACATGGTAAGATTCAGCATATCAAAGAACCCCATATATTCAATTTTTGTTGAAATCAAACAAAGTTTAATTTTGGACCCCAATTTGGACCAACTTGAAAACTGGGCCAAAAATCTAAAATCTAAATACATGTTTAGATTCAGCATATCAAAGAACCCCATATATTCAATTTTTGTTGAAATCAAACAAAGTTTAATTTTGGACCCCAACTTGGACCAACTTGAAAACTGGGCCCATAATCAAAAATCTAAACACATGTTTAGATTCAGCATATCAAAGAACCCTAAGAATTCAATTTTTGTTAAAATCAAACTAAGTTTAATTTTGGACCCTTTGGACCTTAATGTAGACCAATTTAAAAAACGGGACCCAAAATTAAAAATCTAAATACACGGTTAGATTCGGCATATCAAAGAACCCCAATAATTCAATTTTTGATGAAATCAAAGAAAGTTTAATTTTGGACCCTTTGGACCTCAATGTGGACCAATTTAAAAACGGGGCCCAAAATCCAAAAACTTAATACACGGTTAGATTCAGCATATTAAAGAACCCCAAGAATTCAAGAATAAAACCCCATTGAAATTGATCAAGAAATAAGCAATTTATACGAAGTATCTTCTTTTGCACAATACTGTGCAATTGAATATTTCTTGCTATTGCGCAATACTGTACAATTGACAATTTCTTGCTATTGTGCAATATTGTGCTATTGGATATTTCTTGCTATTGCGCAATACTGTTAAATTGAAGATTTCTTGCTATTGCGCAATACTGTGCAATTGAAGATTTCTTGCTATTGTGCAATACTGTGCAATTGAAAATTTCTTGCTATTGCACAATACTTATTATATAATAATTTACACATCCTGTTTGGTGTGTATCTCCTACCATATCATTATTATTTGCTTTTAAATATAAATCAGAAATAACCAACTTAAAATGGAAAATTTTAAAAGAAAAAAAAAAAGGAAAAAAAGAAAAAAAAAAAAAAAAAAAATCCCCCCCCCAAATTTTTTGAACCCCCTTATGATTCATCACCCCCAAACTCAATCCCAGCCTTCCCTTTGTGGTATGGTACCTTGAAGTACAATTTCAGAGAGATCCATACACTTGAACACAAGTTATTGTCTGGAAACTAGAAAAATGCTTATTTTTGGCCCCTTTTTGGCCCCCAATTCCTAAACGTTTCGGGCAATTACCCCCAAACTCAATTCCAGCTTTCCCTTTGTGATATGGAACCTTGTAGTACAATTTCGGAAATATCCAAACACTTACACACAAGTTATTGTCATGAAACTAGAAAAATGCTTGTTTTTTGCCCCTTTTTTGGCCCCTAATTCCTAAAATTTTGAGGCAATTACCCCCAAAATCAATTACAGCCTTCCCTTTGTGATATGGAACCTTGTGGTACAATGTCGGAGAGATCCATACACTTACACACAAGTTATTGTCTGAAAGTTACAAAAATGCTTATTTTTGGCCCCTTTTTGGCCCTTAATTCCTTAACTGTTGGTACCATAACCCCCAAAATCAATCCCAACCTTCCTTTCGTGGTATTGAACCTTATGGTGAAACTTCATGGAGATCCATTCACTTAAACTAAAGTTAGAGTGCGAAAACCAATGTGTCTTCGGACGACGCCGGACGACGCCAGACGACGACGACGACGACGCCAACGTCATACCAATATACGACCAAAAAATTTTTAATTTTTGCGGTCGTATAAAAACACTACAATTATCAAAATATTTTTCTATACTATTTTACTGTCTGAAATGAAATATAAATTGTTTACAACACATATATAAACTGCATTACACAAACATACCTGTAAAAACTTAAGTTTGACACCCACCTGAAAACAGAAAGATGAATCTGTTAAAACAAGATTGCTAAGCTGAGCATAATGTCTCTCACGTTACAACTCATCACTCTGAGCTGCTGATCAACTTTAAAGTCATTCTTTTCAATAGTACATGAAAAGTAATGGTCCAATAGGACAAAAGCATGGTGTATTTGTGGTACAATAACAATAATAACAAAAATTGTCAAAGTCCTATAACTCCTGAAAAATGGTCTAATCAAAATGATATCTGATTACTAAGTTTGATCCTATAATTCTTAGAGGATTTATACTTTCTCTGACTGGCTGATTACTTTTTATTTATAATCAATGTGTGGTTTGTTTGATTGGAGTTCTTTAACTTTTTAAATTCCACAATGATGTCAAATTTTCTTGCTTTCCTCTGAATTTTCTATTGTGACGTCATGAAATAAGGTGACCATGCCTGGTGATATCACATAAAAAAACACATCTTCATATCATCAGAGAAACAGATTCCACTATAAAAACTACCTGCAAGTAAATATTGCTCCACTATCCATTGGTAAATTTTAAATATCTAACTGTGTTAAGTAGAGAAATATTGTAATTGTATCACACTAGATGTAGTAGAAGAATCAATATTTAATAGACAAAGTTTATCACTACTTTCTTCACATTTGTACAATTTTATGGTTGATGAGTTTATTAATTGAATACTTACCCAGAAGATTTTGCAGTACCTTTAGCTGTATTTTCAAATGTACAATTATTAATATTTATTCAAATAACAATAAAAAATATTTACCAAGTCCAAATAGATGACCACCAGTTCACTGTCAGTAACTCAAACAGTATGTTAATGGATGGCTGTAAAATAATAATAACATCAATGGCACACACAAATAAATCAGAAACATCTGACTAAAATTATTAACAACAAAAAAATGTATAAAAGGTTTTCTGAGGCAAAGATTTCATAAAAAGCCACTTGGTGGCAATATCTCATTGAACATTGGGCAAGGTATGCTAAAATGAATTAAAGTCGAAAAAAAATCACAAAAAGGCCATCTATGGTCAATTGTTCAAGTCTGTATAAATTTTTATCCATTATTAAGAAGATGTTGTGACATTTGTCCTACTCTTTAGAAACTTACTAATACATCTTAAATTTAAAGTTCATCTTTTTTTATATTGAAAGCAAAATATTGATTTTAATAACCTATTTAATTCAAAATAATGATTTAAAAATCTATTCCAGATCTTAAGTTCAAAGTTAGAATAAAGATATATAATGAATATACAGAAGTGGTGAAACATTCTAATGATATATCCTAAAACATGCTTCAACTTCAACTACAATTTGCAGCATATATCATTAAATATGACGGAAGTACAACTAGCTGGATTTTTCACATCTTACAATTAATCTTACAATATGTTACTAAAAAGTACTTATAACTGCACTTTCATTTAACACGGTACTCTCATACCAGATATTATAGGTTCCAAAAACACATAAACAGTTCTCATCTGACTAACATTTTTTATAACTTGACAGGTACTTACAATACGTAGTCGAATAGCACTGCTTGTTATGCTGTCATTTAATGAGCATGTGGCCTGGTAATCAAAATCTTCTAACCTAAAATAAGTGAATAGAAAATACAATACTTATTGTTTACTTTTCCATTTTAATAACATACAAAACATTTCAAAACTAATCTTATCAAATTGGTAATGGGAATTTTTCATTTCTTTTTCCCCGTAAACAGGTATATAATAAAATTTTAGAATACATACTTAAAAAATAAAGACTTGATAAATAAAAAAAAGTTTTACACAAATTCTGAGAAATAGGGGTGCATCTGATTCTTAACAATTAATGAAGGAGTCATTTTTTTCAAAAAGCAAGAGAACAATCATACTATATATTTCATTGTCTCACTAGAAAATCATCCTATTCTTTACAATGTTATAACAACTAACCTTTGATACACTGACATATTGTACAGCTCGTGCATTAACAGAGGATCTATTTTCCCAAAAAATCTTCCAACCTGAAAAATTGTTATAATGTAAATAGTTCTTCATATATATTTCATCCAGAAATAATTATTAAATGTTATTTTTGTGTATTTTATTTTAAAAATTTGTAAAAGATTCTGTGAAACCCTGCGTCTTGCCTATATCAGTGTAAATTGGCAATGTTGACTGCCAAAAACTAAGTCAATTTATTGTCGATCTACAGGGGAAATATCCAACTTTTTCTTCAGATGCTATTTATTGATCATGAAGAAGCCTCTGTCCATGTTTCATAACATTCCATGGTGATTTGACAAGTTATTGATGTCTAAACAAATCCTTTTATCAGTAAAATGCAGGAAAATGATTTTTTTTTAAATTTTTGCCTTAGATGTTATCTTTTAAACACAAAAAGCTTCATCTGCATTTGCAAGTTTAAAAGGCACCTGACCCTTATACCAATGTTGGGCATAGGAAGATATAAACTTTGACATGATTCGGCACACATTTGACTATAAATTACCTAATAAATATAATCCTAGGCAAGTTTTATTATATAGAGAACTGATTTTGATATTTGTTGAGCCTAAAAGATATCTACATTTTCCAGTTGTCTATATATAAAGCAATGAACCAAAGCCTGAATTAAAATCTTCAAAATCAAATGGGAGCTTCATTTCCTAAATCTCAAAGTTGTATCAAGTATTATGAAAATCAACAAAGTAGAAGATTTTCAGGATTTTTTAATCCCATAACTCTTGAACAACACATTCAAACAACTTCAAAACTGAAAGGAACATTCAAGTCTGCACTTCCAACTATGTATAAAAAATTACAACAATCCATAAAAGCAAGCATGAATTATTATATTACATAAAAATACTCAACTTTGAAAAATTGACAAGTGATTACTATCAGGTACCATCTAAAAGTCTACAGGGCCATTATAAGCTGCAAATTTTATAAGGAGTCCCAAATAGAAATAATAATACCTCATCAAAGTGATCTTCCCTATTACTAGCAATCAGGAAAGCACCATCATCAAGTAAATAGCAATCAATACTGGAGTCTACTCCACAATTCTGATCAGTCTCTGTCCCTAATATCTCTACTATCTTCTCATGTTTGACAAATGATCCAATGACAGCAGGTTTGTAGTTATATGCTGTTACAGTCACACTTTTGGTTATCATTATATCAGGAATAGGTTCAGTGTCATTCTCAGTTCTTTCCTCTGAAAAAGAATATTAGTTGTAGTCAACAAAATATTTTTTTAAGAATAAAATTTGACTTGTGAAATATTTGGTTTTATTCTACAACATAAGTTTTTAAAATTATTTTGCTATTTTACTGGACAGCTTCTTGTTAACAGAAATATTATTTCTTCCACAACATATTCCCCAAAAAATTGTGTCTTTCATCAAATTGATCATTATAGAAACCAACTTCCTTCTGTTAATTGCAGAGACTCACAAACAATACCCTTTTCACATCAGAAAATCCAAAATGACATTATCCTTATAATGCAACACTGATTCTGCATAGAATCATTAGAATTGGACTTAATTGATAAATGCAAAATTAGGCATTCCATAGGGGAAATTATCTTTGCTTTTCACATTCCTATAGTTAAATAGGTTCATCTTTTAATCAATGAAAACTGCAAAATAAAACCCACTTACTCAGAGTATAAGGAGCACTGAATACAAGTCCGTCGTAATCTAGAGCCCTCTTAAAATATGATGCCTTCCATGTATCTCTGTCCCTTTCTATTTTTTCTTTGTATTTTGATCTACAAAAATACACAAATTAATGACTCATGTATAAATTTAAGGCATCAAACATGATTGCGTTGCATATGGATTTCATTTAAATTTAAAATCCCTGTTCATATTTCATATACAAAAACATATATGCTATGTTTTCTACTTCGGATCACTTTTTTGTTTTTACAGCTACAATGCAGTGATATTTTTCAAATGAAATGGAATGCATATAAATAGTTATTAATTTATTTTTGGCCCAGAATAAAATATTAATATGTATGAACAAACATATGTTTCAACTTTCTATATTTTTTTTTCAACCATTACTGAAAAAATAAACTGCTTCACTGAGCGCAGCTGGATACGCCTGCAGAGGTCTAACCCTGAACAGTTGGGGCAAAAATGGACACAATATTCAAGCTTGATACAGGTCTGAATTTGGATTGTAATTAAATATTTGACATACATCTATTATAGGTTTCTGAATAAATGTAGTCAAAGAACTTGAAGTTGGTTATATGAATTGAATTTATATTCAATTAAAGATTTCTTGCTGTTGTGCAATACACTGTGCTGTTGCGCAATACTTAGTAAATCTGTTGTCAGACTATAAACAAATAAAATTTATAAAATTCTAAAGGGAGCTTACATCAATAGATATTAACAGTTTACCAAAGTTTCATATGAATTGCTGAAAGCATTTTTGAGTTTTTGTCTGAAAACTGGAAAATCCCCCCTTTTTTAATGAATAAACCCCATAATTCGGAAATGTAAAATCTAAAATTTATAAAATTCTAAAGGGAGCTTACATCAATAGATATCAACAATTCATCAAAGTTTCATGAGAACTGCTGAAAGCATTTTTGAGTTATTGTCCGAAAACTGGAAAATCCCCCTTTTTTTTTATGAATAAAACCCCATAACTCGGAAACGTAAAATCTAAAATTTATGAAAATCCAAAGGGAGCTCATGTCAATCGATATAAACAATTAACCAAAATTTCTTGCAAGTTGGTGAAAGCATTCTTGAGTTATTGTCCGAAAACTGTAAAATCCCCCTTTTTTAATGAATAAAACCCCATAACTCGGAAAAGTAAAATCTAAAATATATAAAAAACGAAAGGGAGCTCACGTCAATAGATATAAACAATTCACCAAAGTTTTAAGCAAATTGGTTAAAGCGTTTTTGAGTTAATGTCCGACATGTTGACGACGGACGGACGGACAGACGGACATACAACGGTATACCATAATACGTCCCGTAAACGGGCGTATAAAAAAGGACTGTTCCGTTAGAACACATCAAGGTCCCTCTCAAGGTATTTTGAAACTGCTTCTATAAAAGAGGAGACTGAAAATACCTTTTCAAATGAAAATGTAAGAGCATTGGAGCTATCCAATTTTCAAATTGATTCCCCTACAAACCACCTACATAGAACATCATTAATTGAATTTTGTCTGCATATACTAACCCAGTTGGACAAATTCTGGTCAGACCTCCATATGTGGCTACAAATATAGCTTCTGTCCTGCAAAATAAAGAAGACAGGAGTTCAAATCAGGATGATTCATGAAAATTAAGAGCAAGTCCATCTGTAAGAAAGAAATACAGAAGTTGACAATGGTTAAAGTTGGTTAGAGGTTTTTATCATGTCAGGTAAATTGCAATTTGAATTTTAGAATCATGCTTTAGCAAATGTAAAACAACCCACCAGATTTTATCTTAAGCTAAAACCTACTGTTAGTATAAATCCCTTCTGCGCTTCAATGAACACTTTTACACCTCAAAAAAATTACAAAAAGAAGGATCTAGTTCTTACCTAAAAATATTTTTTAAGATTTCAAAATTGGTCCAGCCAAGTCAGCTCCCTAAACTGCATATTAATGGATGGACCACAAGATTTCATCCAGAAAGCATTTGTTTAAATTTTTTTTATATTTTATTTAAATTTTGACCCCAAAATCAACAGGCTTTTCCCCCTTCCCTATATCCTCCATTGGTATATGGCTATTTTTAATCAAGCAAAGGAAAGTCAAGATTTCATCAGGAAAGCATTTGTTTCTGACCCACAGACAGGTGGACAGATGGATAAGGCCATTACTATATACTTCCGATATTAATTTGGGAGCATAATGGGTCATCAAACTTGTGAGTGGAAGGCTTAAAGGGACATTTGATATGATTAAGACAAAAAATAAAAATATGATATTTATTTGTTCAAACATTGATAAAAAGCTGAAAATTTATATAATGTATTGCTATTAGCAGTCACTTTAGTTCAATTTTGTTAAAATAAGCTCAAAAACATCGCTGATGTATTATTGGCTTGCAAGTCAATAATTCAATATCATTTGAATCTGTATTATTTGACCCTTAGCCGAGGATGTGCTGCTCATTGATAAGCATGTTCAGTTATTACAAAAAAAAAGAAGACCAACATTGAAAAGTGAAACAAGGGTGTCACCAGGACGAACCATTTCCTTCACTGAAAAAAAAAAACATTCTTATCAGGTAAAACAATGATTCAAATTTTTTTTTTATCAATAACATGAAATCAACAGACCTAGAAAAATAGTTATTATTGGATTGCATGTGCTTGTCTGTTTATTTATTTTTGTATTTATGTATATATCCGATCATATGACCATCGGCAGTCTATAGGTCGTCTAATGGTTAATTAGATCGTGTCTAGTCTAAAATACACATGAAACGATAAGTCCATGCATTATTAATTGTTTCTATTGGACTTTTTGCAATTTGGATATACATTTTTGTATGTAATAAATCAAATATGAGAATTTGAGTCAAATTGGTGAACTAATGCCCCTTTAATATATAGTCTATAAATACAGTAATTTTTTACCATATACAATTTCACTGATTAGATCCATGCGTAATTCTATTGTGCTGAGTCTTAAATATGTATATATAAAATGTTACCTATTAAGCATAAACTGATTGAAAAATTCATGCATATGTTTAGTCTTTTCCAGATCCAAGTGTAATGTTAATAGCCTCTCATTGTCCCCTGGAAAAAAAAAGATTTCACAGTAAAACATACACATACCTAAAAGAATGAAATTATACATATATATATTTCCAGGGAAAACATACTTATTTAAAAGTGAAGTCAAGTATGAAGTACAAGTTTGTAAGAAATGTATAAAAAAAAATGACCAGAAACACATGTTGAACTATGAGCTATTGCTTACTAATGATAACCCAACTATAATCAGTAAATTAAAATCATACTAAATAGTTTTGTTATACACATATGCACTTTAACGGTACTACAATCTGTCGATACCTTTATTTTGGCATTGCACAAGGTCATGTTTTTCTCTGACTGTTAATGACGTCTGTACACTAAATCCATTGGATGTTGGATGTGTACTGATTGATATTTTAGTCTTAGATACATGATTTTTTTTATTACTTATTGGCTTTGAACTAGCTGTCAGCAACTGTGAGTACTCTCAGATCTGTATTTAGTGTCCTTTATGTTGTTAGGGATGAGGGATGGATAACTACCCTGCCACATCCGGTCTGTATTTATGTTTGATGTTTTTCTGCTTTGTATCGATCTGATGAGTTGAGCCTTTTTCAACTGATTTTTATAGTTTGTTCTTGATGTTGTGCTGTTACACCACTGTCCCAGGTTAGGGGGAGGGTTGAGCGCTCCCAAACATGTTTAACACTGCCACATTCTTTATGTGCCTGTCCCAAGACAGGAGCCTGTAGTTCAGTGGTTGTGGCTGGTTCATGTCTGTCATATTTGTTTTTTTCGTAAATTGTTTTGTTATAAATTAGGCAGTTAGTTTTCTCAATTGTATTGTTTCACATTTTTCATGCCGGGGCCTTTTATAGCCGACTATAAAGTATGGGTTTTTCTCATTGTTGAAGGCCGTAGGGTAGTCTATAACTGCTTACATCCACTTCATTTGAATTTTGGTGGATAGTTGTCTCATTGGCAATCATACCTCATCTCCTTATTTTTATATAAGTATTCAGTAAAAAGTGTGTTGATTAGCACTCAAAGTGAAAACAAAAACAGAAACGCATGCTCACATGAAGCTTGATTCGTACTTCCTGAGAAAAATGTGACAAGAATCTCATACATCGCCTAATGTGCAGGAATATACAAGTATTTGTTTAACAGAAATGATGATGAACAATGAATGTGAAAATGCATCACATCTCATACCCACATGAAGCTTGCTATTGAATTTCAGGAGGCCCTGATTTGTAGTTACTGAGTAAAATGCAAAGAAAATATCATGGGATGGTCCAGGATGGATGGAGATATGTAAACAAGTATACCAGTCCCCAATGCTTTTGTAGCCTGGGTAGTATTGAACAATAAAAAGCTCCGCAGGGCGCAGCTTGATACGACCACAGAGGTCGAACCCTGAACAGTTGGGGCAAGTATGGACACAACATTCAAGCTTGATACAGCTCTGAATTTGGATTGTGATTAAATATTTGACACAGCATAGATTTTGACACAGAATGAATGTGGTCTAAGAACTTAAAAATTTTAAATTGGACATTCACCTATTATGGTCCAATATCCAAAATCTAAATACATGGTTAGATTCAGCATATCAAATAACCCCAAGAATTCAATTTTTGATGAAATCAAACAAAGTTTTATTTTAGACCCTTTTGACCTCAATGTGGACAAAGTTGATAACGGGGCCCAAAAATCAAAAATCTAAATACATGGTTAGATTCAGCATATCAAAGAACCCCATATATTCAATTTTTGTTGAAATCAAACAAAGTTTAATTTTGGACCCCGATTTGGACCAACTTGAAAACTGGGCCCATAATCAAAAATCTAAATACATGTTTAGATTCAGCATATCAAAGAACCCTAAAAATTCAATTTTTGTTAAAATCAAACTAAGTTTAATTTTGGACCCTTTGGACCTTAATGTAGACCAATTTGAAAACGGAACCAAAAATTAAGAATCTAAATACACGGTTAGATTCGGCATATCAAAGAACCCCAATAATTCAATTTTTGATGAAATCAAACAAAGTTAAATTTTGGACCCTTTGGACCTCAATGTGGACCAATTTAAATAAAATGGCAGGGCGCAGCTTGATACGACCGCAGAGGTCGAACCCTGAACAGTTGGGGCAAGTATGGACACAACATTCAAGCTTGATACAGCTCTGAATTTGGATTGTGATTAAATATTTGACACAGCATACGTTTCTGACACAGAATGAATGTGGTCTAAGAACTTAAAAATTTTAAATTGGACATTCACCTATTATGGTCCAATATCCAAAATCTAAATGCATGGTTAGATTCAGCATATCAAATAACCCCAAGAATTCAATTTTTGATGAAATCAAACAAAGTTTTATTTTAGACCCTTTTGACCTCAATGTGGACAAAGTTGATAACGGGGCCCAAAAATCAAAAATCTAAATACATGGTTAGATTCAGCATATCAAAGAACCCCATATATTCAATTTTTGTTGAAATCAAACAAAGTTTAATATGGACCCCGATTTGGACCAACTTGAAAACTGGGCCCATAATCAAAAATCTAAATACATGTTTAGATTCAGCATATCAAAGAACCCCAATAATTCAATTTTTGATGAAATCAAACAAAGTTAAATTTTGGACCCTTTGGACCTCAATGTGGACCAATTTAAAAACGGGGCCCAAAATCCAAAAACTTAATACACGGTTAGATTCAGCATATTAAAGAACCCCAAGAATTCAAGAATAAAACCCCATTGAAATTGATCAAGAAATAAGCAATTTATACGAAGTATCTTCTTTTGCACAATACTGTGCAATTGAATATTTCTTGCTATTGCGCAATACTGTACAATTGACAATTTCTTGCTATTGCGCAATATTGTGCTATTGGATATTTCTTGCTATTGCGCAATACTGTGCAATTGACGATTTCTTGCTATTGCGCAATACTGTGCAATTGAAGATTTCTTGCTATTGTGCAATACTGTGCAATTGAAAATTTCTTGCTATTGCACAATACTTATTATATAATAATTTACACATCCTGTTTGGTGTGTATCTCCTACCATATCATTATTATTTGCTTTTAAATATAAATCAATAAAATGCTCCGCTGGGGCGCAGCTTGATACGACTGCAGAGGTCAAACCCTGAACAGTTGGGGCAAGTATGGACACAACATTCAAGCTTGATACAGCACTGAATTTGGATTGTAATTAAATATTTGACACAGCATAGGTTTCTGACACAGAATGAAAGTGGTCTAAGAACTTATAATTTTTTAATTTACCTATTCATACATGTGATGGACTGTGAAACTCAGATCAGGAGATTGGGAAATTTTGGTCAGGAGATTAGGACTCAGATCAGGAGGTTTTTAATCGACATAAATTTTGTCGTAAATGTAACCGTGTGCTGTAAAAATGGTCTTTTAAAGTGTGTTTTCTTCAACTTTCCATCCAATTTATTATGTTTATAGTACCCTTGTACTTATAAAGTTTCTCCATCTTTATATTTTACATGTTCAATCTAACATCTTTTTTTTTCAGTATGTTCTTTAAATTTTTTACTTCATATTCTATAAAACATTTATTGCAACCAGAACATTTGTTTAACTATCTGCAAATAGCTTTTGTTTGCATACTCAGAAAATCATTCTAACTGTAAAACAAGGGTCATAGTTATTATATAAATTTCAATTTAAGCCTTGAAAGGAAGTATAGAATCCTCAAATAATTTTCAAATTATTATTTTTTTATTTGTCCTAAGACATTTAAAATCATTTATTTACCATCCTTTTATGATTATTTGTTCAATTTATATTTTATTTATATTCTATTAAAAATTTTCATTATTAAAAGGAAAGTAACTTAAAACAGGATAAATCAAGGGAAGTAACCCAATAAATACACAGTTTTTGTTACACAACGGCAGTTAGCCTGAGGTAAAAAATCATTGATTACCAGTATGTTTGACACCCAAGCTGACAAGTGAAGCCATATAATTATGCATGTTAATTGATTTACAGGTAAAATATAACTTCAGGTAATGTGAGTTACACCAGATGCCTGAGATGATATGTTGGGCAGAAATTTTTCATTCATGAAAAATTTCATACACGGGATTATAATTTTCCTCTTCAACCGGAGGTCGGGAGGAGACTCCTGAAAACAGGATTATTGTACTCCTGTCAAGAGGTTCACATGTATGCTATTCAAACCATATCATTATTATTTGCTTTTATATATAAATCAGAAATAACCAATTTAAAATGGAAAATTTTAAAGAAAAAAAAGGGAAAAAAAATCCCCCCCCCCCCAAATTTTTTGAACCCCCTTATGATTCATCGCCCCCAAGCTCAATCCCAGCTTTCCCTTTGTGGTATGGTACCTTGCAGTACAATTTTAGAGAGATCCATTCACTTGAACACAAGTTATTGTCTGGAAACTAGAAAAATGCTTGTTTTTTTGTCCCTTTTTGGCCCCTAAATCCTAAACTCTTAGGGCAATTACCCCCAAACTCCAACCCAGCTTTCCCTTTGTGATATGGAACCTTGCAGTACAATTTCATAAAGATCCATACACTTACAAACAAGTTATTGTCATGAAACTAGAAAAATGCTTGTTTTTTGCCCCTTTTTGGTCCCTAATTCCCAAAATTTGGTGGAAATTACCCCCAAAAATCAATCCCAGTATTCCCTTTGTGATATGGAACCTTGTGATACAATGTCAGAGAGATCCATACACTTACACACAAGTTATTGTCATGAAACTAGAAAAATGCTTGTTTTTTGCCCCTTTTTGGCCCCTAATTCCTAAAATTTGGAGGCAATTACCCCCAAAATCAATCCCAGCATTCCCTTTGAGATATGGAACCTTGTGGTACAATGTCAGAGAGATCCATATACTTACACACAAGTTATGTCTGGAAGTTACAAAAATGCTTATTTTTGGCCCCTTTTTGGCCCCTAATTCCTTAACTGTTAGTACCATAACCCCCAAAATCAATCCCCACCTTCCTTTTGTGATATTGAACCTTATGGTAAAATTTCATTGAGATCCATTCACTTAAACTAAAGTTAGAGTGCGAAAACTAATGTGTATTCGGACGACGACGCCGGACGCCGGACGACGACGACGACGACGACGACAGCGACGCCAACGTCATACCAATATACGACCACAAAAATTTTTTTGCAGTCGTATAAAAATAACCAACTTAAAATGGAAAATTTTAAAAGAAAAAAAAAAAGGAAAAAAAGAAAGAAAAAAATCCCCCCCCCCCCCAAATTTTTTGAACCCCCTTATGATTCATCACCCCCAAACTCAATCCCAGCCTTCCCTTTGTGGTACAATTTCAGAGAGATCCATACACTTGAACACAAGTTATTGTCTGAAACTAGAAAAATGCTTATTTTTGGCCCCTTTTTGGCCCCCAATTCCTTAACGTTTCGGGCAATTACCCCCAAACTCAATTCCAGCTTTCCCGTTGTGATATGGAACCTTGTAGTACAATTTCAGAAATATCCAAACACTAACACACAAGTTATTGTCATGAAACTAGAAAAATGCTTGTTTTTTGCCCCTTTTTTGGCCCCTAATTCCTAACATTTTGAGGCAATTACCCCCAAAATCAATTACAGCCTTCCCTTTGTGAAATTTAACATTGTGGTACAATGTCAGAGAGATCCATACACTTACACACAAGTTATTGTCTGGAAGTTACAAAAATGCTTATTTTTGGCCCCTTTTTGGCCCCTAATTCCTTAACTGTTGGTACCATAACCCCCAAAATCAATCCCAACCTTCCTTTCGTGGTAATGAACCTTATGGTAAAATTTCATGGAGATCCATTCACTTAAACTAAAGTTAGAGTGTGAAAACCAATGTGTCTTCGGACGACGCCGGACGACGACGACAACGACGACAACGCCAACGTCATACCAATATACGACCAAAAAATTTTTAATTTTTGCGGTCGTATAAAAACGGGGCCCAAAATCCAAAAACTTAATACACGGTTAGATTCAGCATATTAAAGAACCCCAAGAATTCAAGAATAAAACCCCATTGAAATTGATCAAGAAATAAGCAATTTATACGAAGTATCTTCTTTTGCACAATACTGTGCAATTGAATATTTCTTGCTATTGCGCAATACTGTACAATTGACAATTTCTTGCTATTGCGCAATATTGTGCTTTTGGATATTTCTTGCTATTGCGCAATACTGTGCAATTGAAGATTTCTTGCTATTGCGCAATACTGTGCAATTGAAGATTTCTTGCTATTGTGCAATACTGTGCAATTGAAAATTTCTTGCTATTGCACAATACTTATTATATAATAATTTACACATCCTGTTTGGTGTGTATCTCCTACCATATCATTATTATTTGCTTTTAAATATAAATCAGAAATAACGAACTTAAAATGGAAAATTTTAAAAGAAAAAAAAAGGAAAAAAAGAAAGAAAAAAAATCCCCCCCCCCCCCCAAATTTTTTGAACCCCCTTATGATTCATCACCCCCAAACTCAATCCCAGCCTTCCCTTTGTGGTATGGTACCTTGCAGTACAATTTCAGAGAGATCCATACACTTGAACACAAGTTATTGTCTGGAAACTAGAAAAATGCTTATTTTTGGCCCCTTTTAGGCCCCCAATTCCTAAACGTTTAGGGCAATTACCCCCAAACTCAAATCCAGCTTTCCCGTTGTGATATGGAACCTTGTAGTACAATTTCAGAAATATCCAAACACTAACACACAAGTTATTGTCATGAAACTAGAAAAATGCTTGTTTTTTGCCCCTTTTTTGGCCCCTAATTCCTAACATTTTGAGGCAATTACCCCCAAAATCAATTACAGCCTTCCCTTTGTGAAATTTAACATTGTGGTACAATGTCAGAGAGATCCATACAAATTTCATGGAGATCCATTCACTTAAACTAAAGTTAGAGTGCGAAAACTAATGTGTCTTCGGACGACGACGACAACGACAACGACGACGACGCCAACGTCATACCAATATACGACCAAAAATTTTTTAATTTTTGCGGTCGTATAAAAATTCCATGGCAAAACCTAATTTTCTTAGTTTTAACAGACACATTACTAAATAACAAACTACTTACAGAAACCATCATCTTTGCCCGACTTCTCCCATTTCTTGTAAGCACTATAAATATCTGAAAGATTGCTGGCTACTGACCCATTCTTGACATACTGCCTACAAAACAATGAAAATAAACACTGATACATGTTAATCTGAAATAATCTCTGTCCGACCAAGAAAGGTCTTTTTCAATTTCGCTCAAATCAAGTGCCAGTTAATAAATACACTGGGAGGATTTCCATAGATGTCACCTAACTTGGTAATTCTGAAGGACATTTCACTAATAATATTGCTGAAAAAAGTAACATAAAATTCATGTAACATTCCAAATCAACTCAAACCTCTCCCCCAAAGCATAACCTGTAGTAAGGTCAAAACTAGGTCTAAATGTTTAATCTTTCATAGGATCTGTAACTACTCGTTACAAAATTAAATAAAATAAACTGTTGACACAGAGATATGTCTCGCCATTGGGCATAAAATTCACAAAAAGACAATCTGATGGACAGCGACATTGCTAATTAATTCAAAGTCGCTGGACCAGCTAGTGGGTAGGGCCTCGAAATGGTTGACAAACTGAGATGTACAGACAGCAATGTAACTTTATAGAAAATATTGTCTATTGTAAGTAGTTCCTATCACACTAACTTAATCAGAAAACTGAACACTGAAAATTGTTAATTGATTGAAAGTCACTGGACCATGACCTAGGGGGCAGGGCCTTGAAATAGTCATCAAACTGATGTACTGATAGTAATGCAACTTTATAGAAAATATCATTGATCTATCCCAAGTGGTTCATATTAAACTAACTTAAGCAGAAAACTTATCATTGAAAATTGCTAATTAATTGAAAGTCACTGAACCATGGCCTAGGGGTGGCAGGGCCTAAAAAATAGTCGTCAAACTGATCAAAATATCATTGATCTATCACCAGTAGTTCCTATCAAACTAACTTAAGCAGAAAACTTAACATTGAAAATTGCTTATTAATTCAAAGTCACTGGACCATGTCTTAGGGGCCACGGCCTCAAAACAGTTGTCAAACTAATATGTACTGATAGTAATGCAACTTCATACAAAATATCAAAGATCTATCACAAGTAGATCCTATCAAACTAACTTGAGCAGAAAACTTAACATTGAAAATTGCTTATTAATTCAAAGTCACTGGACCATGTCCTAGGGGCCACAGCCTCAAAATAGTTGTCAAACTGATATGTACTGATAGTAATGCAACTTCATACAAAATATCAAAGATCTATCACAAGTAGATCCTATCAAACTAACTTGAGCAGAAAACTTAACATTGAAAATTGCTTATTAATTCAAAGTCACTGGACCATGTCCTAGGGGCCACAGCCTCAAAATAGTCGTCAAACTGATATGTACTGATAGTAATGGAACTTCATACAAAATATCAAAGATCTATCACAAGTAGATCCTATCAAACTAACTTAAGCAGAAAAATTACCATTGAAAATTGCTTATTAATTCAGTCACTGGACCATGACTTAGGGGCAGGGCCTCAAAATAGTTGTCAAACTGATATGTACTAATAGTAATGTGACCTCATACAAAATATCAATGATCTATCACAAGTAGTTCCTATCAAACTAACTTAAGCAGAAAACTTAACAATTGTTGATGCCGTTCGCTAGCGAGACAAAATATTGCCTAAAGATCTGTTTCACTTGAATGGTGCAGAAACCTATTTTTTGCTAATAATGCAAAGGTTAGTCAGCTAATCAAAACTCCTATAATAGCTGAAATTATTATAGCACAATTTAATACCAAACAATATTCCCATGGATTGCTGAAAACAGGAGATGGAAGTCATTTCATGAAATGGCTTCTTAATTAGTATGCATGTATACACTCCAAAAATTTAATAGAAATATAACCATCATCATTCAAACTTAAAAAAAAAAATATCTACAAACTCCCTCTTAAAATGACAATACCTTTACATGTTAACTATGACATACCATTAGTGGTTCCCTTTAAACTGACCTTATCACAAACTGTAACATATTGTTGACGTCACTGATGCCCCACAAACGCTAAACACAGCACTCCAAAGTCTCACCTCTGTAACTTTGTAGGGCCAAACAAAAGTTATGATATATTTGAAGATGAAAAACATAGTAAATTTGAATATTTTGTACTGACTTAATATATAATAAATTTTGTCCAATTGTAAGATTTGTCATGCTTCAGACTTACCAAGGAGCTACCAACACTATACTTTTATTATCTTCTATAAAAGGTGTCCCATTTTTAACTGAAAATTAAAGACACTAATTAATTCAAATATGATGGAGTTCCTTTGCTTTGTAAACAAAGCCATGTCTTATTTGCTAGGAAATTCAATAAAATTCTTCTAAAAGTATGTCTTTATGTATTAGTACACTTTTAAATCATGATACCGTTAGTTTTCTAGAACTTTTTTGCTTCATCAAATCAAAATGGCAGCCATTTTCTTTCATGTCATAACTTTCTTATGCTCAGTGTAAAGATATTGACAAATATAATACCTTGTGTAATTGAAACTTTATCATCAATTTCAACTAGCAGTGAAAAAAACTCTGGAAAATTGTTTTATGTGACAATTTCTGTACTTACATCAAACATGAGCCATGTATTTTCATTAAGGTTTAAATATTTATCCATGTTAATAACATAAAACTGTCTGTAATAATTTTCAAACATTATTTTCCATTGTTAGTGAATGTTTTAAGTTTACCTATTGTTGTAAATAATGATGGATGGCTATTTAACATCCAGTTGAGATTAAATGCATATTCAGAACATGTTAATTTGATATGAATATAAACCATGCTTTGAACTAGACTGGCATGCAGAGCTAGATTTTCAACTTGATTCTTTTCAAGGTAACTGTCTGCAGGAAGACATATCACCCTTCCCAAACAAATTATTCTGACTAAGAGGCAACCAGTCCTTGATCTTACTTCTCAATGCTGTGTGCTTAGCGGAGAAGCAGCAAATACTAATGTTCTAGTATTTTGTTGGACTGGGCCAATGAGTGAATCCACGAACTCCCACAATTGATGCAAACACACTACCAGGAGACCACCAAGGTAGTTACTTGTTTATTGAAAATCTACTGTTCTTCAAACTAAACATAGATCATTAAATTATGATTCAGGTACAAAGAAAGTATGACTTAGGTTATACAAGGACAAAAGATAGCAGTGCAATACTGCATGGAATCTGTTACCATTGGTCTTTCGTTGTTGAAATGTCATCAAAAGTAACTAGAAAATATCGTCTGATGTAAAACATGAATAATGTTGACAATCAGTAGCAGTTGAACAATTCTCCTATATGATGCAGCTTTAGCTATAGAGAAATTTTAGTAATGATGTGTTGATTTAAATGATAACCATGCTTACCTATATTCTGTGGTGTTGATGTAAAAACCATTGTATATTGCTGGTAAGATGGAATACTGAGTCCAAGACTGAAAGGAAACACAAATATTAAGATTAAAATCAATTGATCAAAGTTCTTAAAAAAAGACATACCGTAGAAAGGCTTGTATAGTTCGCACTGGTACATAGTCCGCACCCCCTTCTCCCCACGAAATTTTAGGTAAAAAAACTTTTTGTAATTGTTAGAAAAGGTCTAATGTCAGTAATGAAACTCCGGTAATTTCAAAATCCTGTGCGGTCGTTTGCGGTATTTTCTTGGAAAAACCTGTTTTCCATCATCAAACAGAAGCTGAAACTGCTTGTAAATGATTCTAGAACGCTTCATGATTGTTAAAATAAGTTTAATTCACTTAAAAAACAATTTAGAAACTTGTGTATGTTTAAACAGGAAGTTTAAAAAGCACATGTAAAAGAAGAAATTAACCGGTGAGAGTCGAAATCCGTACATAACAGATATCACTATAATACGACTTTGAAAGTAAAACAGTTCCATCCTTTTGTAAAACAGTCTTTAATATATCTATCACATTAATGTTTGAAGGGTCTTAAGCTAATAAAAACCATATTAGTCTGTATGAAACACCAAAACGGAACGAACAATAACCGATTACGTTTTGTAGTTTACAAATTCTAAGCTGGTTTACGGTTGTCTTTTTCACTATGTTTGTATCGTTTCAATCAAGCAGATACCAGTTTATTTCAACCAATGCATTGAAAAGAAACGAGAAATTTGTAATGAAAGGTTTTTAGATTTATCAGTATTAATTTGATATTGAATAGAAATAACTTATTAATATGGATGAGTTAAAATTATTAGTTTGAAAAATGATAAGAGCGCTCTCTACAATATAAATAACAAGATGGCGGAACGTAAACAAACCACCTCGCCCGCGAAATTGAAATTTTTCTCTTATTTCTTGCTTATTGTACTCTATAGTCCGCACCCCGTCTGGAAGGTCCAATTTTGGAGAATAAAACCGCGGACTATACAAGCCTTTCTACGGTAGATAATTATGACCTAAGTTCACCAGAGAGCAGCTATATAGGAATACCAATACGAATATGAATACTTTATTAAATCCAATTAAAGAGCCTGTTTCAAGCATATACATATATATATATATATATCTAGTATTAATTATACAGTAATTTTAAAGATATATTACACTGAAAATAAATAAATGAATAAATAACTATATATAGCTATCCTCTCCATACAAGATGGTGTTTAAAAAAAATATATTAGAATAAAGAAATACAGGTAAACACAGTAAGTTATATATTAAGAAGACATCTCTAACAAAAAAGGGTTTCATTTCCTACATACTTCAATAATTTACACTGACAAGCTGGTCTTTTGTATTTAACATGCCAGGTTGACAACTAAAAGGCACTCCTTTAACTCATAAAGCTTTTAAACAATCAAAACATCATGTATCTCATGACCTTGTGTGACTTGAATTTTGATTTCGTATATCATTTAATGTCAATTCAACCTACTGAAGTTTTAATATATTTGTAGGTTTTCTGTTTCGCATTACCTATATATTATCCTACCTGAATGAAGTGTTTTTAATGTTTCTGTAAAAATAATGTCTTCTTTCTTGATCTGTATGATTCTATAAATAGATAAAGAACAAACATTATGATAACTTCAATATAATTTTTATCAAATCAATTTCTTTATCACACCTACATTGTCAATGCATTTTATTTTTAAATGTTTAATTAGACTACATATAAATGACCAAAAAAAAATACAGGGGAAAATGCAAAGGGGTGGTTTTGTTGAACTAAGTTTTTAACCATGACTTTCAGTGTATGTTGTCTTCCTTGTTTACAACACACCTTCTGGTAGTGATGAATAATCATGTTAAGTTTTATCACTGAACTCCAAGGTGTTTTAAAGTTAGAGAGTGGAAACGATTTCTGTTCATATGCAAAGGGGGTTCTAAGTTGACCATGATTTTAAGTGTTCAGTTTTCTTCCTTGTATACGACACACCTTGAGGTATAGAATGAACATATCTTAACTACCTTGAATTTGGGTATAGCATAGCATTTTTGAAGTTTTGTGTACATTTATTTTTGAGATTGTTTAATAATGGACAAAAACCAAAATATTGCAAACAATTTCTGAATGTACAGTAAAACGCTTTTGTATCAACTTACATTGTCAGCAGAAATTACATAGGTAACCATGGAAGCGTCACCAGTTATACCATCTGTCATGTTTTTTCTCAGCTGCAAATATAGCAAGAACTCATTCAATTTTACTTTCTTCCCCTTATGAACAACATTTCATTATTTTAACTTTACACGGATTTGCTTCCTCACTAGTGATAAAACAATTTTACCCTTGAATTTTATTTATCAACAAACATTTATATTTTTTTCTTTAAAACAAAACAAATTATATTAACAAGTTTATTGGTCTATGTACTGTTTGTTCTCTATCAAACTTACTGATTTGATAAAAGCTAATCCAATTCAACTTTTCTGACAAAAATTTCAACTATATGTCCTAAATGTGAATATCTTCAATTGGTGCAGGTAACAATTTCCAAAGGAACTAACTACTTAAAATTCTAGACCACCTTTGGGTTCCCACCATAAAAGCTACTCTTCTAATAATCTAAATTTTCTACATGTTCTGTTGGTTCCAAATATTTTCTAATGGGTAATTTTCAGCTATGAAATGAGGTGCCATTTAATGATAAGGTCAAATGGTGATGATCACTGATGTTAATGGAAAGCTAAGAACAAAGCTGCATGACATTGTCTGACATTAAGTGAATGATTATCCTTTTCTTATCTCTAGCCATTTTCACAAATGAGAACAATATTTCAATACATATACTGATCTTTCCATCTGATCACATGTGTGATACAAATGGCAATATTGATTAACTTTATTTAAGCATTACATTCCATTTTTATACCATGGATTATTCAGAATTCTAATATGATAACCTATATATCATCATCCAGTATAATCACAGTATATCTAGTTTTGGCGCAAACGCATTAATACACAAAATTGGCTGTTTCATGTTACGCCAACCTTAGTTCACTCCATTTGCGACAGTAAAACCCACGTGTTACATAGGCCAGGCTTCATATACAATAAGGTTATCTCTATTCTAATGCAAAATAAACAAATCAGTCCATTACAGTTTTTATTTCGGTGTAAAACTTCATAAAACGAAAAATCTGTGAAATTATGTTATCGCCTTTGGCAACTAAATAGGTGACATCATATGTATGCTTCCAGCTTTAAATGTAAACACCAGGCGTTTTCGCCTCAAGATGTAATAAAATTACATAAAAAGAACATTTTTAGGTGCAAAATGCGAGTTTTTTAATTTATTAATGAATAATACAATATTATCAATATTATCAAATGGGGGTAAATCTGAACAGCCAAAACAGTATCATGTGTATAGATACGGCTTTCACGGTTGACAAAATTAACGTATTTGTCCTATTAGAATAGAAATAATTCATGGCAGCCATAGATTTGTTTTGATTTAACCATGGCTCGGGATAATATAATTGAATATAAATGCCCAACCCATGGTTAAATGAAAACAAATCTACGGATGCCATGAATTATTTCTTAAAGATGCAGACATTTTTACCCTTTTAATATATGTCAGGAAATCTATTAGCACCATGATGATTTTTTTTGAATATTGAATTTGATTTTCCTGTTTTGAGTAGTGAAATTTACTATCTCACTTCTACTTATTTTTTTTATTTTTTTTCTATAAGAGAAGGCATGATAAGAGTAATTATTAGATTCTTGAAATTCCAAAATTAGTGAGATTTCTCAATCTTTATCAATCATTTTAATGATTTAACTTTATTTGATCAAAAATGATGAAAGAAATTAGATGCCCTAAAGCTAATATGAAATAAATATTCAAATATCTGATTGCTTATTTCTCAAAGACTGTTGACCAGTCAACATCTATAGGATGTTGTTTTCATATAAAGAGGTCAAAAAGAGGCTTCATCATACCTTCTCCATTACTTCAAACCACTTTTGTAAAATCCACAGAAACTTTAATTATAAAGCAACTTCAGATTGTTGTTGTATAAAAATGAACATGCTTCATGTATGCAGATATTGCCATGCAGAAAAAAATTATTAGCCATTGTATAATTAGGTTAAAGTAACATAAGATATTAACGATCGGATAATTTGATATAAAATAACCAAGACGTTCACCTTCCAATATATGCTGTTCTAAAATAAATGTACGGTGGCAGCTGTTCAATATTCTTGAAAACAAATCAATATTTTCATTTAAGAAAACCTTCCAATATATAAAAGTGATGCACCTTATCTTTATATAACAATGCATAAGTTTAAGGTCTATTACAATCTCACTTTTATGGGTTTTGTTTTAACACTTAATTCGTTTATGCTGTTTACCAGAATATTATGTATAAGACACACAAGGACTATTTTTCATTCTTAACACATGGCTAAAACTAACATAGATAGAATATATTTTGTATGATCGCAGTCCAATGGTAAAAATCTTATAATAAAAACAAACTTTAATGTTTAAAAAATAGAATTAAAGAAATACAAACCAACTCAATTTTTATTAAATTTTATTTGTCAGCAGACTGTAAACAACATTTTGGCTATTCAAAAGCTTGATCTTATGTACTTATACATTTTTCTGTAAACTTTTACTTAGCTTTTAGAAAATCAAGTATCAATTTATCATAAATATAAAAAATAAAATTTAAGTTTAGCCCCATTTTTCCCCAAATACTAACAAAAAAGTTGGTTTATACCTTTTTTTAAACAAAATATTTCATCAAACACATGTATTTAGCATAGTTGACAAAAATGAGATTGTGAAATGTGGAAGAGATGAAGAAAGAAGTCTGAATGTGCATTTTAAAGTTTGAAGTCAGTGTTTGTTAGTCTTCAAATTAGAGCTTGTAAATTTTTAAGGAACAGAAGGTAGATTAGATATTTCATTAAAATCTCTATGTACAGTGACACTGGACTATTTCATCCTTTCTGAAGTATTTTCACCTTCTACCGATCCCTGACAGATTTTCCTCTTATAGCCTTTATAATTAACTAAATTAGGTGAACACGGAAACCCAATATGAACCTGTTATGCAATTATTTTCTCCTTCAAAAGCTCTAATTTGAGTGACTGTAGAGACATAGATTCTAAAAATCAGCAGAACATTTACTGAATATTTGTGCTCTGATTTCATTCATTTTCTTTTTTGAAGATGTTCTATTTTTAAAATGCTAACTATACCTTGTTCCCAACTGATTTAGTCTTTAATACAAGACATACTTTATAAATAATACATGTACAAAAAGACCATGATTAAATAAATGCACACAATCCCTTGTTAAACTGTATCTATCTTCCTATATTTGCTAATCAAATGAGATTCATAAAGTATTCTATATTTAACCATTAAAATTATTGAGGTATAATACTGACATTTTGTATTTAGACATGTATTTAAAAAGATTGAACTATTTCCAAATATTGCCGTCAGTTTTTTTACTTTGAAATAGTTTTTTCTAGTATGAAATATATTTTCTTTCTTCTTTATTAAATCTCTAAGATAGCTGCATGTGCCTATGTTTAAATACCTGTACAGACTTATTTCAAATAGCTTATATCAAATATTTCTTTACACTGATTCTATGAAGGTTTTACATAATGATATTTTTATGCTTGCATTAGATTTGCACAAATATATCTTCATGACTGTTTGTTACAGGGTACTAATAAAATTTTTCTTTCAAGACAAATAGCTGTCAAAAAAATCTTCATTTGACTGCATCTGTATACTTTCATCTGAAATCAAATCTTTTTTTATCAAAAAACTGATTTTTATACATAATTGTTCAGATCCTGTCACATTGACTCAGTTTCAGTTTCATTTTCATCTGATGTGATCAAACAAAAACAGTCTTTTCATCAGTCAAAATAAATTTCAATAATCTAAGTAACCACATAGACCTTGGAATATGGTCTCAGTCAATACAGATTAGTAAAGTTCAGTCAATATTGATTAGTAAAGTCTATATAAAACTCCTCAAACACTTTAATTCTAATATTAGATAGTTGTGAAAACAATCGTTACCTCTTCCTTCTCCTTATTTTCTACTTCGATGTCTAGAAAATCCATATTTGGTGGGTCTTTAAAATCATCCTAGAAAAATACAATAAATATAATGTCATTAATGATTTATACCATTCAATTAAACAAATAATAAATAAATGATTTTTCAAATCAATTTGATAAAAAGACTAGCTTGACATTCTCTTTCATACAATTATTTTTTTCTTCCTAAATAATGTAATGTTGATGCTGCTGAATTTCTAGTTTAAAATAAATAAAACTTACATGAACTCTTAACTTAGGATGGAACATCACATAACCATTCGCATTAATAGCAAAGCTGTATCCATTTGGGCCAAGCTGAAATATTAATGAAAAATATGACAAAACCATTTTCATAAAGCAAACCATGAACATCATATCAATAGCATATTGATATAGGAAAATAATGCTAATAAAGTTGATGCTGTCTGACAGTCAAAATGTGCTTTGTGCAAGAAAGACATACCAAAAAACCCGATTTCCAAAGAAACATAGGCTGCCTTTATCATTTCTTTAATCTGCTTAGAGTATATGAACTACCAACACATGGGAGTAACATAATTTGACTATTTTGCTATAATTAATTTCTACAAGGTGGCTTTCAGACCCAAATCCAGGATGTCTCTGAAACAGCTTATTTGGGGGTAATAACGATCCAAATTTAATAGCCAATATTCAATTTGAATCTCGACTTTAATGGTCTTTAAAAGTTGGGGGTTTTCAAAGGGGGTTTGTCTGAACCCCCCTCCTCTGTCTACAGATATGTTTTACATGATGTTGTATTTCGTTTCACTGCATTCAAGTCTAATTAAGATAACCTACTAGACCTTAAGCTGAGCTTGAATTGCTCAACAGACTTAAAGCTGCCAATGCAATATTTGAGAACAAAGTAGACGTTCAAGGAAGTGAAATGGAGACAACTTTCTTACCTTCCATACAGGAGTATACTTCTCCATCTGAGCTGTAGTCACGTCAGTTCCCATCACTCCTAGTATAGTTTGATTGGCCTGTAAATAAATTAATCAGATTGAATTGTACTAGATATTACAATGTTAAACCTTGATTTTTTTGTTTTAGTAACATTATGTTATTTTATTAAATAAAGAGACAATGGCAAGCCATTTTACTTTTATTTCATTATTTTAAAGTGACTGCTTTATCACATCATTTTTGCCTCAAAATTTTCTGCACAAATGACCAATTCATGTAAATAAGCTATATATAGGATAGCTTCTCTCTTCAGCATATAGACGGGTCTTTCTCATTATCCCCCTTAGTATTGCACATGTCCGCACGAGGTCATCGATGTCCGGTCGCCATTAAGGTCGTGAAACATTGTAAACATTAGAGAAAGCACGCTATCTGAACACACATAATTTTATGAATGATCTGAATTATTAAATTTGATAATTATCTCATATTAATGAGATAACACATTGGTATGCAATGTTGACGTTTGGACAAGAAGACTTCATAGACATGTGTGTAATTTACTAGGGATAATCACAGTTGGAAAGGCAAACAGTGTTGACTTGTTTACCTTCACATGTTAACGTAATTGCTTGTTATGTAAAAAAATGTATTACCCCAGGAGTTCACTTCAGAAGACCCGTAATTCCTACTTTGATAAGTCCAGATGCTTCTTATTCGATACAATTTAATAATAAAAAGTAATGAGCAGGTCTATGATTACCAGTATATATATATGATTTAATATACAATTATCTTTTAATTTTCACTTGTTCATAACAACAATAATAAAAAGAAGACCAGCCCTGAGGAATTATCGTCTCCAAGCTAGTTTAAACACTCACATTTAATGACATCCAAGACAGGAGATTTAGTCCACTGTTCATTGAAGAGTTTTGATGATTTAATCTAACTTTTATTGTTGGGTTACAGTCTCATTGACATATATCACACTTCCTGAATTCTCTCATTCAAGTCAAATATGGAAATCAATTAATTAAAATAAAACAGTCTGAAGGTTGAATAAAAATGTAATAAAAAAAATGAAGGACGAAAAACACAATTTACAATGTAATTATATTCAATCCGTATCTACATTGACATCCCGTATTAAATCTGATCTCAAATTTACCAATGCGGAACAAACAATAAGAATGTCATCAAAATTCTTTAAAGACTACACTGGTACAGTTCCACTTAAAACTTTAAATACTTTCAGTCTACGAATAGCACGCTCTACATGTATTCGTACATGTGCAATACGTCTAGTAGTTGTGACATCTTCATTTGAAAGCTGGGGTTTGCATTTTGTAGATAAAGGAATGTTTAATTTTACACGACGAAGAAAACGAAAATCTTCAATTGTAAATCCACGATCTGCCATTACTTCGTCACCCGGCAATACATAGTTTAAAAATCCACTCTTTTCCACAATAAACTTGTCACTAGTTCTTCCGCCAAAATTAAGCTTTGGAAATAAACATGATTTGTCCATGTGGAGATATTCCAACAAAATATTTTGCGATATTGTGCGACTTGTAATTACTGAAAGTTTCACTTCTAGTTTCAAGTTCGTAGGTCGTTGTATAAATGTTTCGGCACAGTCTATTATTACAGTGGTGCGAGGGTAATTTTCTCGGAAAGATTCGGGACAACATGCTTGTATTGTTTCCCTCGGCAACCATGCAACTAAATCCTTTAGTTTTTCTGCAAGCATTAAACATTTTACTAGCTTAACTTTTGAAATTCCAAATCTACGAGCTGAGTCATCAAACAGCAAGTTTAGTTTAAGTTTCAAAAACACTGGTAGTAACTGGTCGGCGACTTCAAGTTGAAAGTTAAATGTATTTACTGCTGACATAACCTCTGCTAACGTAAAGAATACTTCTGTACTTACACTAGTATATAACAAAGAGTCACTGTCCGTTACAATACTTATTTTTGCGGACATAGCGCTACTTTCAATTTTGACTTGAACCCGGCCCCTTTTCTTCAGTCAACGCCGTATTCGTTTGAGTAAAGGTATTCTGTATGTCCGACCAGGGTTTTGAATACATGTGATCCTGTGAAATCAAATAATCAGAATCGACATATTGTGTCCCAACTGATGCCGTAGGTGGATTAACCACATTAAAATCAAAAAAAGCTTCTGGAAGCCAAGCTGGAAGCAGTTGAGAATTAGACGGTCCTTCAGTCTGATTAATGTCAACACTCGTCTCGGTACTACTGCTTTCTTCCAGTAAACGTTTTCTTTTTCTACTTTCTGGTTCTTGTCTCGACAGTTTACGTCTACCGGGGGTTGTCTGGCTTTCATACCCAAGATTTAATTTCGGGAAAGGATTTTGTTCCGTCGGAGCTCCGTCTATAAAGTGATCCGAGCATACGAATACTTGCTTTAGAAGTGTTTTTCTATTTAAAGCTTTAATCCACTGTAATCGTTTTGTCTCATTAGCGGGCATAACATGTAGTTTAAATGGAGCCAAACAAGAACAGTCTTAGTGATTTTGTCCATATAATTCACAAAATGATACGTTCCAATCATTTAATTTACGACGATTATTAGAACATCCATTAACAGCACAAGAATTTCCACCCCCTTTCCTATATTTTTCGTTATTTGCCATGGTCATATGTACATGAAATATGTGAAACAAAAACGTTATAAATGACCGATAATTATATAGACTATATAGATTATTGATTGCACGTGCGTTATCATTCACGAGTGCTATGGCCGACGTACCACGTGACCTCTTAATGGCAGCGCACATGTTTTTGAGATAAGACGTGGATAAACCCGTCTATATTATGACTAAAAATGTTGTAAAGATCAGCTTTGTACGGTGTTCTAGATTTTCATTTTTTGTTGAGTCTCCTCAGTGATCTTACAGTCTATAGACCTTTCAATACACTTAGTCCTCAGCCATCAGAAGAAAATCACAACCCTTCCTGTTATTCGCAATGTCACAAGGAACAACATTTGATGTCACATGGCAGAACATTTGATGTCACATGGCAGAACATTTGATGTCACAAGGAGAACATTTGATGTCACATGGAAGAACATTTGACCTCACAATGAAAAAAATTTGACCTCACAATGAAGAACATTTAACCTCACAATGAAGAACATTTGACCTCACAAGGAAGAATATTTGACGTCACAGTTTGATACTGTCTAGAACATTCAACATAACAGTTTGCTATTAGTTGACTAAACTATTAAACTTCTGGACATCTGTTAGTCAGAGAAAATTTAAGGGTTACTCTGTAGTGCAGTTTATCATGAAAAATGTCTCCATACCTGACGATCAGCATTATCAGTCTTGTTGTAGACAGGTAAAGTAACAGTTGTCATCATCCCCAAACCCTACAATGTGAAACATATTCAGAGTAAGAAAGGCACATCATAAATGTCTTCAGTCAACATGACTTTATAGCACCATTTCATTAGTTTTTCTCATTAAACAACAATTGTTATTCAACTTAATTACAAAAATTAAATGTTGACCATAAATACTTTTCAATTTTTGAAAGTTTAAATATTACTAATTTCTTTAAAATGCAGTGCATCTAAATGACAAGAAATCATATTTAATCAGAAATGTTTACTATTTGAAAACAAACATGTACATAATTATAAAAGAGACAGAACTTTATTAATTACTGATAATATCTTATCTACAGATTTATATGTTGAATAGAAAAGCAAGGTAAGTTTATCATGTTTAATCATTATAATATTTCATTTGCTTATTATTTACATAAACAAAATAAAAGTACAAAACCAAGTGTACAGTTGTCATTACTCCATTACTTCATATTATTATCTTTATATTCTTCTTTATAATAAATCAATATCTGTTCTGCAATAATATAATTAATATAAGTACATTTTTAACAAAACAAAAGAAAACGAATGCCAGTTAAACATGAATGCTACCATGCAGAACTTAAATGCAAAAATCAGTTTAAGAATTAAACAAACAAACATAATTAACATCAGATGTTATGTTCTGATCAGGTTAAGGAAATCAGAGAATACAAGTAAAGAAAGAAGGTATAAAATAAGAGGAGTAGAAACGTGTGGCTGTGATAGGCCAAAGGGTGCAAAATGGGCACAGAGATTGTGTCAAAATAGTTTTAAAATAAAATGCTTCGCTGGGCGCAGCTTGATACGACCGCAGAGGTCGAACCCTGAACAGTTGGGGCAAGTATGGACACAACATTCAAGCTTGATACAGCTCTGAATTTGGATTGTGATTAAATATTTGACACAGCATAGGTTTCTGACACAGAAAGAATGTGGTCTAAGAACTTCAATTTTTTTAATTTACCTATTATGGTCCAATGTCCAAAATCAAAATACATGGTTAGATTCAGCATATCAAAGAACCCCATATATTCAATTTTTGTTGAAATCAAACAAAGTTTAATTTTGGACCCCAACTTGGACCAACTTGAAAACTGGGCCCATAATCAAAAATCTAAACATATGTTTAGATTTAGCATATCAAAGAACCCCAAGAATTCAATTTTTGTTAAAATCAAACTAAGTTTAATTTTGGACCCTTTGGACCTTAATGTAGACCAATTTAAAAACGGAACCCAAAATTAAAAATCTAAATACACGGTTAGATTTGGCATATCAAAGAAACCCCAATAATTCAATTTTTGATGAAATCAAACAAAGTTTAATTTTGGACCCTTTTGACCTCAATATGAACCAATTTGATAGCGGGTCCACAAATAAAAAATCTAAATACATGGTTAGATTCAGCATATCAAAGAACCCCATATATTCAATTTTTGTTGAAATCAAACAAAGTTTAATTTTGGACCCCAATTTGGACCAACTTGAAAACTGGGCCAAAAATCTAAAATCTAAATACATGTTTTGATTCAGCATATCAAAGAACCCCATATATTCAATTTTTGTTGAAATCAAACAAAGTTTAATTTTGGACCCTGATTTGGACCAACTTGAAAACTGGGCCCATAATCAAAAATCTAAATACATGTTTAGATTCAGCATATCAAAGAACCCTAAAAATTCAATTTTTGTTAAAATCAAACTAAGTTTAATTTTGGACCCTTTTGACCTTAATGTAGACCAATTTGAAAACGGAACCAAAAATTAAGAATCTAAATACACGGTTAGATTCGGCATATCAAAGAACCCCAATAATTCAATTTTTGATGAAATCAAACAAAGTTAAATTTTGGACCCTTTGGACCTCAATGTCGACCAATTTAAAAACGGGGCCCAAAATCCAAAAACTTAATACACGGTTAGATTCAGCATATTAAAGAACCCCAAGAATTCAAGAATAAAACCCCATTGAAATTGATCAAGAAATAAGCAATTTATACAAAGTATCTTCTTTTGCACAATACTGTGAAATTGAATATTTCTTGCTATTGTGCAATACTGTACAATTGACAATTTCTTGCTATTGCGCAATATTGTGCTATTGGATATTTCTTGCTATTGCGCAATACTGTGCAATTGAAGATTTCTTGCTATTGCGCAATACTGTGCAATTGAAGATTTCTTGCAATTGTGCAATACTGTGCAATTGAAAATTTCTTGCTATTGCACAATACTTATTATATAATAATTTACACATCCTGTTTGGTGTGTATCTCCTACCATATCATTATTATTTGCTTTTAAATATTAATCAGAAATAACCAACTTAAAATGGAAAATTTTAAAAGAAAAAAAAAAGGAAAAAAAGAAAAAAAAAAGAAAAAAAAAAATCCCCCCCCCCCAAATTTTTTGAACCCCCTTATGATTCATCACCCCCAAACTCAATCCCAGCCTTCCCTTTGTGGTATGGTACCTTGCAGTACAATTTCAGAGAGATCCATACACTTGAACACAAGTTATTGTCTGGAAACTAGAAAAATGCTTATTTTTGGCCCCTTTTTGGCCCCCAATTCCTAAACGTTTCGGGCAATTACCCCCAAACTCAATTCCAGCTTTCCCTTTGTGATATGGAACCTTGTAGTACAATTTCAGAAATATCCAAACACTTACACACAAGTTATTGTCATGAAACTAGAAAAATGCTTGTTTTTTGCCCCTTTTTTGGCCCCTAATTCCTAAAATTTTGAGGCAATTACCCCCAAAATCAATTACAGCCTTCCCTTTGTGATATGGAACCTTGTGGTACAATGTCAGAGAGATCCATACACTTACACACAAGTTATTGTCTGGAAGTTACAAAAATGCTTATTTTTGGCCCCTTTTTGGCCCCTAATTCCTTAACTGTTGGTACCATAACCCCCAAAATCAATCCCCACCTTCCTTTCGTGGTATTGAACCTTATGGTAAAATTTCATGGAGATCCATTCACTTTAACTAAAGTTAGAGTGCGAAAACCAATGTGTCTTCGGACGACGCCGGACGACGCCAGACGACGACGACGACGACGACGACGACGACGACGCCAACGTCATACCAATATACGACCAAAAAATTTTCAATTTTTGCGGTCGTATAAAAATCACATACAACACTTATCTCTTTTTAATGACAAAAGTAAACAAAAAAAAAATAACACTGACTATAAAACCAACCAAACATTATCTATGTAATGATTAATAATTGACCCTTTTTATCATTAATTTATCTTTCAAATAACAGGAAATTTACCAATTGATGAGTTTGTCTAATGCTTTGTAATAAATATGTCTTGACAGCTTACTTTTGTTTTAAGTTATTTCTATTTAAAAATTTTAATCTAACTTTTGAAAATGTCTTATATGCATCATATTAAAAATAGAACAGTTTTCTGATTCCAAAAATTAAATCTTGAAAATATTTATTCCAAAAGACAGCATATGAAAACTGGATTATTTAAAAGAATCTTTCCATTCAAAGGAAGCAATCTTGAAACCAAAAGGCTAAGATTTATCTTCTCTGTTTGGCTGGTCAATTGTAAACAACAGAGGATACAATTATATCTACTTAATTTCTCAACAAAGAACTTATTCCATTCAACTGGATATACCAGTAAGTCAGAATAGATGTTGGACCATGTAAAAGTCTGGATATTCTGTATAGCCAAGGGTCTACTCAGGACTGGAACATATTCCTTCAAACAAGACCAGTTAGTCAAGGTTAAGTAATATAAATTAAGGTCATTTGTTATGCACAAAAAGAGTGACAATGGCTGGGTTGCTGTTTATACAAACATTTACTTCAGCATGCCTTCAATCTGTTATTCTCTGGAATGTAATATCTTTTACTATCAAATGTTGCCAATGAAACATTTCCATATAAAATATCAATTTTTGCAAATTTTCAACAAAAAAACGGAAGAACATGCTATTATTTTGGGAGTTTCATCTTTAAGTTTTGGGTCAAACAAAATTTGCAAACTCCCATGCTTCTTTACCAAAGGGTCTACTCTACTACTCCATTGTAATTCTTGAACATAATGATATGCTTTTTCTTCTATAATAAGGGGCAAATATTCCTGTAGAAAAGTAAATAAGTTTTGTTCAATATGATTTAAATTATAAATCATATTTTGAAATGATTGTACATGTGACCTCTTTATGTATTATAAGTCATAAAAACTAGGCTAAATTAAAACGATATGAATGAATTAATTAGCTTGTTTGTTGATGGATTCTAATGGAAAAGAAGTACATGTATGAGTCCCTTTCCCAATTTGAACAGATGATTGGAGGTAGATTTGAACCCAGTTGAACCCCGCAGCAGTGTTCATAGGCTGACAGTATTTCTAACGTAAATTTTTTACCAAATATCTATCAATTTGGACATCAAGGCAATCAGGACGTAAAAGTAACTATGCAGGTTATTTAAAAAATATTAATCAAATTGTGGGCATAGTCAAAATAATGCTGGAAATTCCAAAAGAAAAATGGTCCCTTTTATTTAAAATTCTATAATAGATTTACATCTCATAGGATATAGATATTGGATTTGATTTTTTTCTATAATGTAATATTGATAATCTATTAAAAAGGATAAATATATCATATGGAAAAATGAGTTAGTTTGAAAACTATTTTAAACTACACAATATTTCTACAGTTTGTGAATTTTTGCCATATACATAGCTATTATCATTAATTCTAGGACAATCCTGTGTTGGCTACATCTAAACCAAAATGATGCACAAGGCAAAAGAATGTTTCTTTCATTATATGAACACATATTACAGTAGAGAAGATTTTGTCAATTGTTCTCTCCCCTTCTTTTCAATCTAAATAAAGTATACTTTTTGGTGCAATTTGTCATGTGTTTTTCAATGAAATGAAATGATGAATAAAATAGACTTGTGGATAACAAAGGTTCCAGAACCAATTGATTTGCAGAAAACATACCAGGTGAGACACAAAGTAGATATAAGAAACATTCTTATTTGCCCAACAGTTGGTCCCTAATTAACAAACAGTCAACTGACTAATCATGACTGATTTAAAACTGCTTTGGATTTTAAATGGTTTGTGATAAATAATTTGTTAGCTATTTTAATATGCTAAAAAACAAATCTCTTTTTTTATATAGAAGATGAATAAAGTAATATAGTATATATAATTAATGCCAAAGATTAAAATGCAGCATGTTTAAATGTTAATTGACTGTTTGGTTTGTACAATCCCAATAGTACATGGGGTTGAAGGTTAATGCCAAGTCCCATGTATGGGATGAAGTAATACCGTTTTATCTAGATATACTCTTGACCAGAGTGGACCATCTGGCTTAAAAGTTTTGGCAAGGACAAAAGTGTACTCCTAGGAAAAGTAAAGAAAACAACAATACAGAATGTTGTGTGCATGGATGAGAAACAAAACACTGATGATTTTTTTTATACATTTGTGCTTTTGTATATATGTATACAGCATAGTATGTACATAGTTAAGCCATTAGCATAACTAAAATTATTAAACATGGATTGATGTATCTGTCACATTGGGCTTATTCGGAATGTAAAGACTGATTTATACTTTGGTCCTCAATAGCAAGTTATAAGCTTGCTGAATTCCTAAAAAATAGCTTTTTTTTAATGACAACTCCTCAGAAATTGTCATCACTGAAAATTATTTGTACAATTTCTAAGCAATGACTGATTTCAAAGTATAAATGAGCCTCCAGATGCAGCAATAGATGAGATATAACAGCTATCACCAGAAATAAATAATTTCTGCATAATTTATTTGGATTACAGCATGGACTTTAACATGTAACTCTACTCAGGCTTTGTTATGTGTTATGTGTTTTTGTTTTTTTTATTATTTTGTTGTTTTTTTTTTGCTTTGTTGTGTCTTTTCGATTAAAAAAAAAAATTGATGCCCCCTCCGCTACGGCGGGGGCATAAAAAATCTGAAAGGAAACAACATTTTAATAATTCCAACAATAATTTTGCTAAAATTACAAAAAAAAGAATTAATGAATATAAGATAAATTTCTCTACCCCGAAATTTACAGGAAAATAAGAATATAAAGTGTTCAAACTTTATACCGTGCTTCATGCATAACTGAATTTACAGTTCCCCTTATATAGATAAAGCTTCAGTGAAATGCTGATTTTCTACAATGTCATTGCTAAGATATCAAAACAAGACTTTTAAAAAAACTGTGGTCCATTAGTCCAAATCAAAAAAGAGATTTTCATCTCTGAATTTCACTTCAGTGCTTAAATTACTTTTCTTTGCCTTCTGACAACTCATTAACATTGGACAATACATTTAAAGCCTAAATCAAACAGTCATTACAGTTGTCCAGATAATGGTCAAAACTTCTAGGTACCTAGAGTTACCCAGTCTGCATTCAGGAGTGGCCTCTTCTTGGGGGTAAGTCAAGTTATAGTAATAATACCTTGTCTGAGGACCACAGTGGCTGTTATTGAAAAATGTCATGCTCACTGTTTACATTTAAAAAACAGGAGCCTCTTTAATAACATTCATGAAGTTAATCAACTTGTTCTACGTTTACCTATTTTTTCTTTGGTATTCAAAAGTCATGGCCAATGTGTGTGTGATTCCTCACAATTTCTATTTAGAAAACATTTTAAACAAATTGATTTCCTATAAATTCATGAAAAAATATGTCATTGCATTAACAGTTGCTAAAAGATGATTAACAGTTGGTTTAATATATTAAACAAAAGCTCACAACTGTAAAGCCCTTAAATTATCAAATGATCGACTCCATGAAAACCTGTCAACCCGGAATTATCTCCCTTCCTTTGAAATATCCCTTACATTAGATAAAATTTTACAACTCTGTCAACCCATCAACAAAAGTGCTTATTGGTCTAGTTGATACAGTTACTTTAACATTTAACTACTGTGAATTCAGAAATTATTGCGATGTTTTTATTATTGCGAAAAAATGCAACAGGGTTATAATCGCAATAATTTAAACTCGCATTTTGAAATTTTTTATATGAATTTAACAGGATTTTTCTCAATATCGCAAAAATTAAAATCGCATTTTAGTCTAAAATGACTATATTTCAATAATAAATGCACGCAATAATTTCTGAATTTACAGTAACTGTTCCTAAGTGCATCATATAAACGACTCACTGCATATGACCTGACATATGATGCAAAATTAACTGTCTTAAGTTGTCTGAAATTTGTTACTGTGCAGTAGACCAAAACACTTTATTTAACAGATAAAGTTTTCGAACTTTTTGTTTAAACTGTTGTTTTAAAAGACTATAATTCACATCTTGGCTATGACATAAAATGATTAATAAATGTAGCATCAAACCTGTAATAAATCTAAATCAATCTACGTTTTACATGTAATATGTATTACAACTCTGTATATCCTTCACCAAATATGTGAATTATTAATTAAAGCAATCTAAAGGTGATTCCATATAATTTCATCCCATCATGATTCATACTTATATTTCAATCAAAACTTATGGTTCAACTTAACTTTGAAATTGAATGTATATCGCACGTGCCATTTTCTTCATACTGCGATGACTGCCTTCAGACTCACAGAGATGACAAAATTTAGTTCAAACACTAAAAATCTTTTTTTTAGATATGAATGTTTCACGAGTGTATACAAAAATGTTTTACAAAATGAAAACATCTAAAATTCAATTCTCATGCAAAAGGTACCGACTTGGGATATCAATATTCCCTTAAGGAGAAGTCCAATACTTGTATTATACTTCTGAGAAAAATCTTTTAAACCATGATGAAAATCATTAAATATGGGACCATCTTAATATGATTACTTATTGATAAAAATATCTGTACCAGTCCGTCACGGTACACGCTATTCCATTTCTTGTCATGCCGATTTGAAAGCACAACAGGGCGAGCTATTACATCTACATAACCCTGTAATAATTGTTTCATAAATTTTCACCTCTTGTTAGATAAAAATCACACTACTAAACTGCACAATGTTTTTATATCATTTGTCATACTGTTATAACCATTTCAAAAAGTTTGAAAAGTTGAAAGAAACGAAACAAATATGAACAAAAACTCTAAATAACTTGGTTAATTTGTAATTTATTTGGTCATATAAATTAAATTAACTGGTTCTAAGATGCATTGAAATTTATCTCAAGGTCTAAAATTGTACTGTGAAAAATATAAGAGCAAACCTATATGTTTAATATTTTGTCCAGTTCAAGGTTACCCCTTTGGTATTCTAATATTAGATTCAAATAAAAATCTGTTGATGAATGCTTATTTTCTGTACACAAATAATTGTTTCAAAGGAGGAATCGGTTCTGATGATATAAAAACAATGGATGCAATACACATCCAATCATCCACCACAGCAGGAAATACTCTGACATAATTTAGGCATTGTATTTCAAAACTGTGACTTTTTTCACAAAAAATCTTGATTAAAATTGTTTGTAAGTTATACTGAATTGTTCTTGACTTGTATCTATGCTCCAAGGATTTTTTTTAAATTAGTCGCAGATATCACAGAACCAATTAATTAATCTTATATACCATATGAACACAAAAGTATTACTCCTGGTTTGCCCACTTTTAATTATACCAATTATCTATTAGTAAAGAAAACAAAAAAGACAAAAGGTTTAATGAGCATACAATTGTATAGTCTGTTCCAACTTGGGTATATAGTTTATTAGTGTTTTCTATATATTTTTTATTTTACATTTTCATTTGTATAGAAAAATAATAAATAAATCAAATATTTTTTCTCTCAATAATTTAATATCAATTCAATCGATTCATTTGTGTACAACAGTTACTAATGATTAAACATTGACATTCAGTTATAAAAGGGTCTTAATTATTCCATAGTTTTTGAATCATTTTCATATAAATACATCAATACAAGTTGTCTTTTATTGCAATCATAATTTATATAATATATGAATCAAGTTTATATAAATGCATTGCATAAGGAAATAAATAAAGCTATATGGTAAAATAAGTAATATGGGGCACTATATGTATAATGATGGGAAATGCAATCTTTTTTTATATATTTATTTCAAAAGTCACAAAACAATATATTAACAAAGTCAGTAATTACAATATTTCACGAAGTTGTTCAGTTAAAATGGAAAAGATGGGGTGCTGCGTCAGAGTAGTCTATCACGATCAGTCCTTGTTGGTATCTGTCTTTCAGTAGTTGGAGTCTAGTGTCTATTACTCTGTATCTGCGTCTTTTTGGTGGGCGGAGGACTCCTCCTGCTGCATACTGGATAATGTTACATTCTGTCAGTACCTGGGTCTTCTTCAGTTACTCAATTATCTCGTACATGTTGGGGTTGACATGTTGGAGTCTCTTCTTAATTTTGATGTGCCATCCTTCCAGGTGATTGGTGGTGCGTAGTCCTTCTGTGTAGTAATGGTTCCATAGAAAGCGATATCCTTCAACCCAGAACTCTGTCACGTCATCAGTAAATGATGTTGTAGCGGGTATGTTGTCAGCTTCACCAATGTCTTCTAAAGTTTTAAGCTAAACAGCCTCAACAAGGCGGGTTGGAAGGTGTAATACCAACATCGATTTCCCCCTATTAGTCTTTGTAAAATTTGCACTTTTTAAAAAATTGTGCATAATTTATCTGTGTTTCAAATAAAGAAATACTTGGCATGAGTAAAGTTTTATCCTGTCCAGTACTATGGTTGCTGTTTAGTAGTCAGTAAATTCTGTTTCTGGTGAAGTTGTAACTGATGTTGGTGTGTCAAATGTAAAGCTTTTCAGAACAGTATATTTTTTAAAAATAAAAAAAAAAAAAAAATTGAATAATAAAGAGAAATTTAAATGACATTTATTCTAATCTTCACTTTAATTATTTTACTTTTTTACTTTTTTTTCAGAATGTACCAACAATGAAAACTATTCGCTGATAAAGTGTAAAAATAATATACATTTTCTATACACACATTGGTCTATTTTTTACTTGTTTTTTTTGTTAAATACAATACATTTTCCTGCTAAAAACTTTATAAAATATAAAATATTTTTGCATTTTTCCTTGATTTAATAGCAGATTGTAGTATCTTTTTTGAAATTTTACAGGTAAAATAAAAGGTAAAAAATATGACTATAATTCAGAAATAAACTATAATTGTTAAAACAACAAATCCCCCTATGTTTACATATGCATGTAATTAAAAGTGGGCAAACCAGGATGACACCAGTTTCAATGACCAATACCACTTGGTTTATTCCCGATTGTCCCACTTCTTAAAATTTTAGAGTTCTGATTGTCCCACATGAAAAGTTCTGATTGTCCCACATTATTTTATGAAGTAAAATGTTCTTAGATAAACAATGTAACTGTTGTTTGTTTTGCTAAATAAACAAGAATTAATTTATTGCACATTTAATATTAATTTTATAGAAGTTCAAAAAAAATGTTTTTTAAATCATTAGATTAATGCACTTTTGATTAAAAAAAAATTATTTCTGATTTATGAAATATATCTACAATGTTACGTTATTTATAAAACAAATTTCAATACCGTAATTTTAATTACATTTTCTCTATAAAGTTTTTGAATAAATAATGCATGCAATTTAAAAAAAAAGGTATAAACTCATTTACATTCTACACTTTACACGATCTTGTTGATGGAGAGATTTTTCCAGAAGTCTTTACAATTTAACTAGGGAAGTCAGAGGACATTCATACAACATTCTCTGCACTATTGAAGACTGCTAACACCCAACGTCAGATTCACCTGAACCCAACAACTTCCTTTTTTTTGATAACGAAGCTGTTGTCTAGAATTCTGCCAGATCAGCCTTTCTAAGAATCAATATCAAAGGTTGTTTTTCCAATATTCCCAGTGTATTTGCCATAAAGTGCAGTCAACAGGACTCGTCACCAACTATAAAGAAGAACCAGACTTCCAAAAAAAAAAAAGATGTGGTATGATTGCCAATGAGACAACTCTCCAAAAAAGACTAAATGACACAGAAATTAACAACTATAGGTCACAATACGGCCTTCAACAATGAGCAAAGCCCATACAGCAGAGTCAGCTTTAAAGGTCCCATATGAAAAATGTAAAAAAATTCAAACTAGAAAAACAACGACCTAATTTATGTACAAAATAATGATCGAAAAACAAATGTGTTACACAGTAACAAACGACAACCACTGAATTACAGGCTCCTGACTTGGGACAGACACATACAGAACGTGGCGGGGTTATACTTATTTGAAGGCGCCAATCCTCCCACTAACCTGGGACAGTGATGTTACAGTACAACATAAGAATAAACTAAAAAAAATAAGTTGAAAAAGGCTTATCTCATCAGATGGGTACAGACAGAAATACATCTAACAAATCACAGAGTGGACATGGACGTGGATGGCTACTTATACATCCCCACAACAAAGACACTAAGTACAGATCTTAGAGTATTCGCAGTTACTGACAGCTAGTTCAAAGCCAATAAAAACTAATCAAAAAAATCATGCATCTAAGACTAAAATTTTATGATTTCATATTATATTCCATGTTTGATGATACTTCAATTGTACCTACTACATGTATGTGCAAAATATAATATGTTAGTATTATTATTTGTTCATGGTGTTTTTCATATTTTATAAGTTACAGTGATTAGTAACTTGTAATTAACTGACACAGACTATAAAAACAAATTAATCACTATCAAAACAATTCCCAATTGTCCCACATTTAAACTTCCCAATTGTCCCACAAACATATTCCCGATTGTCCCACAAAATTTCATTACTTTTTTACCTGTAATTTCAAAAAGTGGGACAATCGGGAAGACCACCTACCACTTACATCTAATTTTCTATAACCTTCTACAAAAGGGGATTAGATTTTAGATTAATATTAATAAACAAACATGTCATTGAAAAATACTTAAAATCTATAATAACTGACTTAAATAAAAATGTGTTTGTATTCAAATATTAACATTTTATATGAATGTTTGAACTTTCTATCTTTCAATCCTTATTCTTACCTGTACTCTAGCTCTGATTGCTCCCATAGCTGGAATTTCTGAAAATTTACCTAAAATAACAAAAAAAACATAAATCAGTGAAGCAGTTATAAAACAAGTTGAAAAAAGTAAAATAACAAAAATACCGAACTCCAAGGAAAATTCAAAACGGAAAGTCCTTTATCAAATGGCAAAATCAAAAGCTCATAACACATCAAACGAATGAAAAACAACTGTCATATTCCTGACTTGGTACAGACATTTCCTTAGGCCAAAATAAATTAATAGTGTGTTTCCTATTTCACCTCCAAAAAAATTAGGTAGGGTAGGTAGGTAAAACATTTTATTTTATGAAAACATTTTATTTTTTTTCTATTGACGACAGTAGATAGAAGCTCCAAATCAAATCGTTTGATGTGCCTGCTTCTTTGATATTTAGAATAGTAATTAAATCTACAGCTTTTTTATTTTTCTGTTTTAGTTCTGTGTCAGAAATATGAAAATAAACTTAAATGAAAATTTTATGCATTTCAATGGTCATAATAGGAATATGTTCTTGCTGATTTATTATCTTAAACCAAAAATGGCAGTGAAATATCTGGCATGGTATGTTGTTATGTTGGGCCTTGTTGAACTTAACAATGTAAATGTCACACAGAGTATACATGTGGGAGCAGATAAGTAGCCCTTAAGAACACTGTGAACTGATGCTAAGCAGCGGTTAATTAAGATTTTTCGAGGGGTAATACTCTGCCCTTGCACCCACTTTATTTAATTTACAGATGTGTTTTGATGTTTGACAGAATGTGATCTTGAAGAGTGGGTGGTTATGACAATATTAAAATTCCAGGTTTTGAGAATGTGAAATCTTTGTCTTAATTATAATCTACTGGTCAAATAAATTGCAGATATAAATATGACATGATTTTTTTCAATTTCTTGTATAAATTTTTATGGGACCAGCCAGAGAAAATACTAGGGAAAGCTTCTTTTCTTTTCCCCTTTCTCGTTCCATGTTGTCTGCCCCCCCCCCCCCTTTTTTGCCATCATTAACTAAAAAGCAATAACAGTCGTTTATGTTGCGTCCTTAGCCCAATTCTGCATAACATTCGTAAGAGCGTTTTTTGCAACAAATGCTGGATAATCAGGATTGATTTTAGCAGTAAATAGAACTCATTTTACTCTAAAATTGTTTGTCAATTAACCGACAAATGCAGTCTTTCCAACCTGAAACAATTCTGACATTTGGTCCAAAGAAGCACAGGTACAAGACGAGATTTTGTTAATATATGTATATACACTGAATACACTAATCATTATATATACAAATATTCAAAAAATCTCGCTTGTACCTGATCAAAGAAGTTGAGCAGAATGGGTCAACTTCGTATTTTTTTCGTCTATAGGTCCATCATGTGTTCTTCAAAAAGATTCATCATATTGTAATTATCCGAATCGATGTCATTATATTTTGCGTCCATGTGATCACATTTCGCATATTTGACAGCTTATACGCTCCACTATTGCTGAAAAGCCATGCTTGTTTATTTAAAATCTTGGTCCTTGAAACGCTTTACTTATCCATATTGGTCATTATTAACAAACGTTTTGAAGATCTACAGTATTCTAAACAAATAAACGGAAATGGACAGACTGAAAAATCTGGATTTTTGAATTTTTTTTTATTTTTGTCAATAAAATGTTTAGGGTCGGCATCAGAAACGGAGGTAGGGTCGGGAAACCGAAAAAAACACACCATTAATTTATTTTGGCCTTATGTAGAAAATGATGGATTAAACCTGGTTTTATAGCTAGCTCTCATTTGTATGACAGTCATATAGAATATTGAACTGATGCTCACTAATGACACCCCAGCAATAAGAATTCGTTAAACAGGAAATTGTTGAGTAATTGGTGTGAAAATGCATCATCCAGTGTAGCATGCTTATATGAAGACAGATACCAAATTTCAGGGTGCTCTGATTCAAAGTTCCTGAGAAAAATTAGACGAAAACTACATACATGGTCATAATGTGTTAGAATATATAAGAATTCATTAAAAAGGAAGTTGATGAGTGATAAATCTGAAAAATGCATCACACAGTAAAGCATGCCTACATTACAATTAATTTGAAGCTTGATACCAAATTCAAGGAAGCTCTGATTTGTAGTTCCTGAGAAAATGCATCGGAAATTTTATGGGATGGACGGAAACACTTATGGACAGACATACCCAGTATGTCCCCCTTTCCTTTCTGAGCCGGGTTGTAATAATCCATCTGTTGTGATTATTTTGGTAAAATTATTAAATTGTTTAGTAAATATTGCTGACATTGCCTATTAAATATACAGAACTAGAAATAAAGCATTTCCATAAATATAAATTGTACTATACTATAATATTATACATGTTAAGAAGTGATCATTTTGGTTAAAAGAGTAAACTAATCTGATGCCATGAATACTTGGATCTGTAGTTTGGTTTGCTACCTTTTTATTTTCAATATTTGGTTAAATCCACTAATGAGCAGAAATATATTTTTATATGTGCAAAGGGTGCATTACAATTCAATATCTTGTAACATTTGCATCATTACTTTTGAGTGATGCCATTTCAGATAGACTACATGTTCCAGCAGGTATCACTTTCAACTACTAGTCACATGCTTTTATACTAACACAAAATACTTTGAAAATAAGATGTAAGATTTGTTAAATACTTGATATTATTGCTATTTGGTGTTTTTTTCCTTTGATCTTTTTGTTTGTTATAATTTTTTTAATCATGTTACTCGCTTGAGATAGAAAATATAGCTAGAAACTAAGGGCACACTATGTAAACATCAACGACGTAATAGGCAAAATAGCGATAAACAGATTATCAATGGTCTTTCAAACTCAAGGATGTTTCTGAGTTTGTAGCTGAGAAACACCCTCGTTTGAAAAACAACTGATAATCTATAATTCTCCCCATCAGCTGATTTTGTTGTCAGATAATATCTTATATTGGATCCATCACTCTTCCCCTTTAGATACTTTTGACTTCAAATGTTTGGTTGTAAACACCACTGAATAATATAATGCACACCCATGCATCAAATTAACTTTGGCATCAAGGAAATTTGAACTTGTACAGCAGGCAAAAATCTTAACAGACAGTTATGTGAATATTACCTCTATTAGCACAAGCCATCCATCTGATACCTCTATTTGGATTTGCTGTCTGTCCAACTGCATATGTAAATACCCTAACTTGGTCCTGTAAAATTTGATCAAATTATTCAGCTTACTGAGCTAGTCTTTTTTTATTCAATGATGGTTTGATAATCTTAAAATTCTTTTTAATACAACACACTTAAAGTATATTACTTAAAAGAATATTTAATTCAAATAAATATCAAAATATTTTTTTTTAATATAAATACATGTTTGTAGCACATCACATACTGAACATGTGTATTTTTCTCATAATCCATATCCTTAACCAATTAAAAAAAAATACAAGATTTTTCAATAATTTTTTTTAATTTCAGGTATTCAAATAAAAATTATATCTCTTTGTTTTTGCAGTATATAATATATCCAACCTCATCTGGTCTTTTAAAGTTGCGTTCATTAAAGACCTTTTCTGCATCATCAGTACCTCCATCAGTCAACAGCATGATCATCCTGTTACACTTAGCACCACTGTTGCTTGAATTGTCAAACTACAAAATATCATCATAAAATTTAAAGTTACCTGTAACCGGCTCCATTCAGCTTTTAGATCAATAAATATCAAAAGCATGAAGTATTACATCAATAGTTGGAACTCATCAATATTTAGAACTATTACATGTTGATGAGATGTGAATATATCCTGCTTTGAACTAGACGGACACACAAAGTAGAGTTTTTGACATGCTAGCTCACAAGGTAACCGTCAACAGGAAGATAAATCACTCCACTCAGACATATTATTCTGACTCAGAGCTCCTGTCGTTGCTCTTACTCCTAATTACCAGCAAATATCAATTTTAAAGTCCCCGACAGACTAAAGGACATTGGACAGACATACAGACAACTGTTAAACAGTAAACCCCTCATTGGGAGTTTGAGTATAATAATAAATGTGAAATATCTCTGGAAAAAATATTTACCTTATCAAATTCATCAAATGCAAATGTTAAAGCTGACTCATAATTGGCCATATCTTTTGCTTGTAAGTTATCAACTCCCTCCTTTAAAATCTACAATTATAAAACATTAACTAAGCATACAAATTTCAAATTACTCAGCCATACATTAAATAAACTTAAATGTCAAAAGTTCCTACAAATGCAGTGCCGTTATTCTCCATGACTAACCAGTGGACCAAGATAATATACAATACTGTGAAAGTATTATTGTTCCTGGGGTACCAATGGGGATTTGTTGGTTCTTCCCTTCAAAAAAAAAAATTAAGATTCAGGAAAGGTTAAAATTGATCCTTCTTTTTTGTATATCTGGCTGATATACTTAAAAATTTTACATAAAACAGTTGTGATATAACTAGTGATACAAAAAAAGACGTCTTTTAAATGCATCACATTATAAATTACAAAGTTATGACCTCTTAATTATGCCTTACAGTGTTCCAGCTAGGTCGTTTTCACAGGGCGGTCCGGCTGCCCTTTCCAGAGTGCCACCCTGTGCCCTTTTTACAGTTTACAGGGCGCCCTGCCTTTTTTGAAGATCGATTGGTATATTATTTTGATCGTATTGATATGATCAGCCAATTACGAAAATTTACCTGGCGACAAGTATATGACTTTGTTTACGACCCCAAGCTAATCAACGGTTACAACAGGTGTCATAATCTGTTGTTATAGGTAATCCGTTTATCGAATGGGTCATTTAATGATCATCAACATTAATTCATTCAAATAGAATCGGTCAGACGGCATTTGTCTTTGAACTTGAAGAAATGTTCATACAACTTGGGCACAATTAGCAATGTTTACTGTAGTTTCATGGAGAAAATGTAATTGACAGAAAGTCGAAAACCATAATCAACTCGTTAAAAACATTGCTCTTATTGTTTTCCGTGAAATAAATAGCAAATTAAGACGTATTTTTCATTGACTGCCTTCATTTTTTATACGAAAATAACAAAATCGGCCGCCATATTGTTGATCGTATTTACATCTTCTACGTACTGTTTATTATCCTCCAAAGACGGAACACACCCAAATAAAGAAAGATAACTCAATCTTATTTTTTCCTAGCATTGAGTAACCTACTAAGATATTATAAAATATGTCTTCATACTTCTGGTTTTAGAATTTATATGTTTAGGTGTTTTGAGTTATGGGAAAAGTTAAAGAGGGTCTTAGTAGCAGGGTTGGTAGGGTGCCTTGGTCATCTTTTTCTGTATTTTTTATTTTCAATCCAAATTTTCACTGTTCACTATATCCTAACATTGTGCATTTACAGCTGTTTTGTGCTGTATTGCCATTAAGCACAGAAAAGGTAGAAAGGTGAAACTTGTAAAGTGTGTCAGACCATAGAAACAGAATGAAGCAGGACATTTTTCAAAAAATACTGCATATAAAGCTTAACTGTGCCAAGCAATGATTTAAAACTTGTGTCACAAGCTGCTTGATAAGTTTTCAGCCTAAAAAGTAGAAAGATAGTTTTTCTCTGGGCTAATGATGTTGTTCTTGTATATTTATAACCAGTGATTCAATGAACAAACAATGTTTGGTTATAATCTTTATTAAAACATGCCCTTTTCATATTATCATATCACGCGTTAAATGCCCTTTTTCAGGATTGGCACCCTGCCCTTTTGAAATCCTAGCTGGAACACTGCCTTATTTATGTTGTAATGTCAGATTTGGTCTTTCTTTTTATAATTATTTTAATAACAACTTTTTTGCATTTCTTTATTGTCCCTCCCGTTATTTGATGATTAACATGTGACACTCACTAGCTCTTGATAATATGCTACTAAAATATTAGTACAATCATGATATCCTATAGTTCTAACATACATATGATTTGGGATCTGAACAACAAACCAGAAAACCTATGTGTGAAAAAAGAGACATTATATATAAATAAGTCAATGAGACAGCAACCCAAAAACAAAACTAACCAAAAGACATGTCAAGATGAATAAACATAACTATTTGCCACACATTATTTGACGATTCCAACCAATCAATTGATTTTAGCTGACACAGTTGAATATCTGTCAAATTCTTATGTGTGATTAACGTATACCATGAGTTTTCATCTTTTTTCTCTTATTTTGAATGGTTTGCTCATAAAATGCTTTAGCTTGTCAAATCTGTGAATATACTTGTATAAAATTCACTAAAATATTTAATGAATTCCAAAGTTTTTATATAAAGATGGTGTTAACCCATCAAATAAAATACAATATTTAGGTCATAAAATTTCATAATGAATTTTCTGTTTCAATTTTAATCAACAAATCACGAATAATGCATTATATGTATAAATAAACTCATCAAAGATACCAGGCTTATAATTTTCTACATCCCACACTCTTTTTGTTTACAAACCACTCACAAGCAACCATCAAATTAAAATAGTTAAAAGGCCAAAGAAATACGAAGAGCATTGAGGACCCAAAATTCCTGAATTTTTGCTGAATACAGCTAAGGTAATCTATTTCTGGGGTAGAAAATCCTTAGTATTTAAAAAAGATAATATATACAATGTACCTTTTAAACTGTATTGGTGAGCATAAAAGTTTCTAAACTTACCTTCTTATTTCTGTGGTTAGCCTGGACAAATGTTTCAAAACAGCTGACAAATGTCACACTTTTGGAAAACTAAAGATAAAAGATTTGAATTAAATAAGATTTCATATTGATAAGGAAAAAAGAAAATGAAAACAAAATAAAATCAATCTAATAACATACCCAATAATTTCTTTGTATCTTAAGCATTAATTTCATATACAAATAAAATGTATATGTAACAGACTATATGATATGGGTTCTTCTCATTGTTGAAGGCCATACAGTTTCCTATAATTGCTTACATCCACTTCATTTGACCTCTGGTGGATAGTTGTCTCATAAGCAATCATATCACATCTCCTTATTTTTATATATCAGATATATATGTTCATAAATAGGTATAGAAAATACTTGAAATGCATGATCATTACCAATGTTTCTATCATAACTGCAGTCCCTTGGACTATTTATATATCAGGATATTACCCTTTTCATAAATAATCATTATATAACTACCATTGATATACTTTTCTTTGTTTCTGAGAAATGAGACTTAAACAATGAACTTGGAGAGAAAAGTTTAAATATCCTTGCCAAAAAATTTGAGAAGCCATAGCGGGCATAAAAGTTCCAAAATTTTAAAAATTGAGATAAATTTATGAAGCTAGAAATGTTAATCAGCCCAATGTAAAGTTAGAAAAAAAATAAAATATTTGTTAAAATTTTACCTGAACATGAAATATTTTTGAACTTCAATATACTAGAATATGTGAAACCTTACTTCCATTAAAAACACAAAATTGAAAAAGGTTCTAGAAAAAAGTATGTTTTGTTTTGTGGCTGTCATTGAGTTATAGTTCTTACATTTGCAATATTGACAAAATCATTTTCTCCAAGTGTGTCGAGAATGGATTTGACTGCCACTTTGATTAAACTTAAAGCTTGCCCATGTACACTTCCACTTCTGCAATAATAAAATACACAACATGTCAAATTTAAATAAAATGCTCCGCAGGGCACAGCTTGATACGACCGCAGAGGTCGAACCCTGAACAGTTGGGGCAAGTATGGACACAACATTCAAGCTTGATACAGCTTTGCATTTGGATTGTGATTAAATATTTGACACAGCATAGGTTTCTGACACAGAATGAATGTGGTCTAAGAACTTAAAAATTTTAAATTGGACATTCACCTATTATGGTCCAATATCCAAAATCTAAATACATGGTTAGATTCAGCATATCAAAGAACCCCAAGAATTCAATTTTTGATGAAATCAAACAAAGTTTAATTTTGGACCCTTTTGACCTCAATGTGGACAAAGTTGATAACGGGGCCCAAAAAGCAAAAATCTAAATACATGGTTAGATTCAGCATATCAAAGAACCCCATATATTCAATTTTTGTTGAAATCAAACAAAGTTTAATTTTGGACCCCGATTTGGACCAACTTGAAAACTGGGCCCATAATCAAAAATCTAAATACATGTTTAGATTCAGCATATCAAAGAACCCTAAGAATTTAATTTTTGTTAAAATCGAACTAAGTTTAATTTTGGACCCTTTGGACCTTAATGTAGACCAATTTGAAAATGGAACCAAAAATTAAGAATCTAAATACATGGTTAGATTCGGCATATCAAAGAACCCCAATAATTCAATTTTTGATGAAATCAAACAAAGTTTAATTTTGGACCCTTTGGACCTCAATGTGGACCAATTTAAAAACGGGGCCCAAAATCCAAAAACTAAATACACGGTTAGATTCAGCATATTAAAGAACCCCAAGAATTCAAGAATAAAACCCGATTGAAATTGGTCAAGAAATAAGCAATTTATACGAAGTATCTTCTTTTGCACAATACTGTGCAATTAAATATTTCTTGCTATTGCGCAATACTGTACACTTGACAATTTCTTGCTATTGCGCAATATTGTGCTATTGGATATTTCTTGCTATTGCACAATACTGTGCAATTGAAGATTTCTTGCTATTGCGCAATACTGTGCAATTGAAGATTTCTTGCTATTGTGCAATACTGTGCAATTGAAAATTTTTTGCTATTGCACAATACTTATTATATAATAATTTACACATCCTGTTTGGTGTGTATCTCCTACCATATCATTATTATTTGCTTTTAAATATAAATCAGAAATAACCAACTTAAAATGGAAAATTTTAAAAGAAAGAAAAAAGGAAAAAAAGGAAAAAAAAAAATCCCCCCCCCAATTTTTTGAACCCCCTTATGATTCATCACCCCCAAACTCAATCCCAGCCTTCCCTTTGTGGTATGGTACCTTGCAGTACAATTTCAGAGAGATCCATACACTTGAACACAAGTTATTGTCTGGAAACTAGAATAAAATGCTTCGCTGGGGCGCAGCTTGATACGACCGCAGAGGTCGAACCCTGAACAGTTGGGGCAAGTATGGACACAACATTCAAGCTTGATACAGCTCTGAATTTGGATTGTTATTAAATATTTGACACAGCATAGGTTTCTGACACAGAAAGAATGTGGTCTAAGAACTTGAATTTTTTTAATTTACCTATTATGGTCCAATGTCCAAAATCAAAATACATGGTTAGATTCAGCATATCAAAGAACCCCATATATTCAATTTTTGTTAAAATCAAACAAGTTTAATTTTGGACCCCAACTTGGACAAACTTGAAAACTGGGCCCATAATCAAAAATCTAAACACATGTTTAGATTCAGCATATCAAAGAACCCCAAGAATTCAATTTTTGCTAAAATCAAACTAAGTTTAATTTTGGACCCTTTGTACCTTAATGTAGACCAATTTAAAAAACGGGACTTAAAATTAAAAATCTAAATACATGGTTATATTTGGAATATCAAAGAACCCCAATAATTCAATTTTTGATGAAATCAACAAAGTTTAATTTTGGACCCTTTTGACCTCAATATGAACCAATTTGATAGCGGGGCCCACAAATAAAAAATCTAAATTCATGGTTAGATTCAGCATATCAAAGAACCCCATATATTCAATTTTTGTTGAAATCAAAAAAAGTTTAATTTTGGACCCCAACTTGGACCAACTTGAAAACTGGGCCCATAATCAAAAATCTAAACACATGTTTAGATTCAGCATATCAAAGAACCCCAAGAATTCAATTTTTGTTAAAATCAAACTAAGTTTAATTTTGGACCCTTTGGACCTCAATGAAGACCAATTTAAATCAAAGCGCGAAAGCGCTGTAAAGGCAGTTAATTACAGGTTGTGTGTATTTTTAGTCCAGTTATATCATTATCTTGCATAGTACATTGTACTTATCAGAGGTGGCTTTCAGTATTTAAGATTTAGAGTTCTCTAATGATATTGAACAAGTTTTATGAATGTCATATTCTGAGCACTATATGAAGGCGATTGTTCTCACTTGTTTATGAACTAGTGCATTATGTCCAGTTTGTACCTTTTTTATCTATGTTTATAGTCAAATACTGTTTAAAATAGTTTGGCATTTTCTTTTAAGTAATAAGTAAATGTTATCAACTGTATTTTATTCAACTTTGCAAATGTGGTTTGTTACTGGTAAGTACATTGTATGGATGATAGTTGTTTCATTGGCAATCATAACACATCTCCTTATTTATATAATGATCTATATTCAACGACCTCAGGTACAAAAAAAATGTATGTAACTAAACTATGATGGGAAACCTTTGACTTCTTTCTTTAATATAAACTTTTGATTTGGTACCATAGAACTATGTAGAATAAATGTACATTGCAACATGTCAACTCTTGCAATGACAATACTTTTTTTAGAAACTATAACTCCAAGCAAAATTATATTTCCAAGTATAAAGTAATTTATGAATGAAACAAGAGTGCACACGCTGAAATGTCTCGCCTTCTTTACTAATCATTGATATTATGTTGATAGTCCTAAATATAAAGCTTTATTACAACTGTCACATAAACTTAACATTAACCAAGTAAACTAAACATTGACCAATGAACCAAGAAAATGAGGTCAAGGTCAGATGAACCATGCTAGGCAGGCATGTACAGCTAACAATTCTTCCATACAACAAATATAGTTGACCTATTGCTTATAGTTTAAGAAAAACAGACCAAAACACAAAAACTTAAAACTGAGCAATGAACCTTGAATATGAGGTCAAGGTAAAAAAAAACCTGCGTGACTGACATATAGATCATAAAATATTTCCATACACCAAATATAGTTGAACTATTGCATATAGTATTAGAAAAAAAGACAAAACTCAAAAACTTAACTTTGACCACTGAACCGTGAAAATGAGGTCAAGGTCAGATGACACCTGCCAGCTAGACATGTACACCTTACAATCATTCCATACACCATGTACACCAAATACAGTAGACCTATTGCATACAGTATAAGAAAAACAGACCAAAACACAAAAACTTAACTATAACCACTGAACCATGAAAATGAGGTCAAGATCAGATGACACCTGCCAGTTGGACATGTACACCTTACAGTCCTTCCATACACCGAATACTAGACCTATTGCTTATAGTATCTGAGATATGGACTTGACCACCAAAACTTAACCTTGTTCACTGATCCATCAAATGAGGTCGAGGTCAAGTGAAAACTGTCTGACGGGCATGAGGACCTTGCAAGGTATGCACATACCAAATATAGTTATCCTATTACTTATAATAAGAGAGAATTCAACATTACAAAAAATCTTAACTTTTTTTTCAAGTAGTCACTGAACCATGAAAATGAGGTCAAGGACATTGGACATGTGACTGACAGAAACTTCGTAACATGAGGCATCCATATACAAAGTATGAAGCATCCAGACCTTCCACCTTCTAAAATATAAAGCTTTTAAGAAGTTAGCTAACGCCGCCGCCGGATCACTATCCCTATGTCGAGCTTTCTGCGACAAAAGTCGCAGGCTCGACAAAAAGGAGTTCTTAATTAAGTAATAGACTGATTCGCTGAGCGCAGCTGGATACACCCACAGAGGTCCAAACCTGAACAGTTGGGGCAAAAATGGACACAATATTCAAGCTTGATACAGGTCTGAATTTGGATTGTAATTAAATATTTGACAGATTATAGTTTCTGAATAAATGTAGTCAAAGAACTTGAAATCGGTTATATGAATTGAATTTATATTCAATTAAAGATTTCTTGCTGTTGTGCAATACACTGTGCTGTTGCGCAATACTTAATAAATCTGTTGCCAGACTATAAACAAATAAAGTTCAATTTCTTCTCAATGTCATATTTGAAATTTATGAAAATCAATCATGTTGTCAATAGGGAGATTACATCAATAGCTATAAATAATTCACCAAAGTTTCATGCGAACTGCTTAAAGCATTTTTGAGTTGTTGTCCAAAAACTGGAAAATCCCCCCCTTTTTAATGAATAAAACCCCATAACTCAGAAATGTAAAATCTAAAATTTATAAAATTCTAAAGGGAGCTTACGGATTGATAATTTAGTCTTAGATGCAAGATTTTTTTATCAGTTGTTTGTGGCTTTGAACTAGCTGTCAGTAAATGCGAGTACTCTCAGATCTGTACTTAGTGTCTTTTTGTTGTTTGGATGTACAACTACCCGGCCACGTCCACTTGTATTTGTATTTATCCATCTGATGAGTTAAGCCTCTTTCAACTGATTTTTATAGTTCGCTCTTATATTGTACTGTTACACCACTGTCCCAGGTTTGGGGGTGGGTTGGGATCCAGCGAACATGTTTAACCCCGCCACATTCTGTATGTACATGTATGTGCCTGTCCCAAGTCAGGAGCCTGTAATTCAGTGGTTGTCCTTTGTTTATGTGTTGCATATTTGTTATTCGTTCATTTTTTGTACATAAATTAGGCCGTTAGTTTTCTTGTTTGAATTGTTTTACATTGTCATTTCGGGGCCTTTTATAGCTCACTGTGCAGTATGTGCTTTGCTCATTGTTGAA